ATCTGAGAAGCAGCAGCACAATGATGTTTTTATGACTGAATTAGAGAATAGAACCAAAAAACGTGTTACGTTAAGGTGCGTTTTTCTGGCCTTTTTAAAACATAGTTGTACGGATAAGTTAATAAGTGTATAAATTTACAATTTAATAGCCTACATAGATCCACATCGGAGCCGTATAGCAAGCAGGAGCAACGCATTAACATACCCGATGAGGGAGCCGAGTCCCTGGACAGCAGTGCAAAGCCAACGCCGCCAGATAGTTCAAGTAATTAAATTAATTTACTCTTGATTTAGGCAAACCAAATTAGGCTATTAGAAAAATATTTAAATTTAGGAAAAAAGTAAAATTTTAATAAAATCTTTAAATGTTTTAATTTGTCTTTTTTTTATGAGTTGGCTTTTTTTGATTGCCCTTATTTTGCTTTAGTTATAACTTGTAACCAATATGGTTGCTACACAGTTACTAAATATATAGTCTTTACTTATTTACCAAATTAAAGTAAATTTGTCTTTTTAAAATCCCTCCTTCAGTTATACTAATCGATGAGTACGAGGACTTCGAGGAGGAGGATCTAAACTGTGAGGGCGAAATGGATCATTTCCCCTCCTGGGAGATCGACAGTGATATTGGGGTGGATGTGGATGTGGACGCGGATGCGGATGCCGATGGCGACTGTGATGAGTCCACTGAGGACACGGCATTGCTGCAGTGTGCCACGCGCACCGCCATTGTTATAACACCAATTAGCCCAGTAAGTTAGAGAGCATATCTACTATTTCCTTGACAATGTCTTTTAATTAAAAACTAAACTTTCAATTGCAGGTAAGCTCCGCACACAATCTTCAGCAATTAAATGACCAAACTACAACGCTTAATAAATCAAATTTGCTTCCGCCAGACTCTGGCTAGTTAATTGCAATTGAAGTTAGCCTAAACGTAGCTATTACATTATCATTAGAACTATGTATTATAAACTATGGAATACATATTAATGTCATTTTTGGACATCATTTGTGTTCAAACCAATTGGTAGCAAACAATTAAAAATCAAATCAAATAAATCTGCTTTAGCAACAAATCTTACTTAAACAAAACGTGTCTGCCTCAATGCTTGTTGTCTTGATCTGGTTCCTCGTCGATAAATGCGTCCCCATCCTCGTCACCTTCCTCCAATCCCATGCCATCCTGATCTTCTCCATCATCTCCTTCTTCACCGTCTTCTATAAACTCAATATTATCCTCGTTGATACGAATGCAGCGCTTCTTGGATGTGGACGGGCCGTCGCTGACATATTCATCCTCTTCGACGAGATCCTCCTGTAGGAAGATGACTCCCTTGTGTACCTTTCGCACATGCACATTCAGCTGGGAACTGTTTACAAAGGTGCGCCCACAGCCGCCCTCAAAATAATCACGGCACATGTACTTCGACCCATGAGCCCGCTGCATGTGCGTACTCAAGCCCTGTCGACGTCCAAACCTCTTCTTGCACACCTTGCACTCAAAGGCGAAGCGCTTGTAATGCTGACCCAGGATGTGAACCGATAGGGACTTCTTATTCCTGGTGGTGAAGCTGCAATGCTCGCAGCTGTAAGACTGGCCATGGAGCTAACGAAAAAGGTTGGATAATTAGCCCAATTGATTGATGGAAAGGCAACAATATTCACCTTCTGATGCGCCTCCATTTCACTTCTGTGATAGAAACCTTTCTTACAGATGCTGCAGGAGTAGCGCTTCTTGTTCGAATGGACCACGTTTACATGAGTATCATAGTTCCGGCGATTTTTAACGATCTTGAAACATTGAGGGCACTCGATGGGCTCGTGCCAATAGGCATGGTGCTTGGCCAGTGCATCCTGGCTTTTGTACGACGCATTGCACAAGGGACACGACACGTTGTCTAGAAAGTGTTTTGATTAAACTAAGGAAGGATATGTTATACAGTTCCACACTCACCATTATTGTGGCTCCTGGCCACATGAACAGACAAGGACATCTTTGAGCGGCACTCCTTCGAACAGAACTGACAAATCCACTCTTGCGTGGTCTTGGACGACTTCTCCGCCTGCTTGCTCGAAGATTCGTGAGTGCGTCGCTTGTGTGTGTACAAGGAGTTCCAATTCGCATAGGCCTCCGAACAGTTCTGTAATGAAAGTGATACTTTTGATTTCCAATTTGTGTTGCCCAATTCGCAGCAATTCTCACCTCCTGATCGCACATATAAAATACACAAATCTCAAGCTTGCGATGCGTCGAATCCGAGCGCAGTTGCTGATAGTTGCGCAGGTGATGGCGATACAGTTTCATGTGCGGAAAGTCCTTGCCGCAGGGCTGGCACCAGTACAATCCGTCCCTATGAACTCCCGACTCTCGATGGGCTTGCAGATGGGCCTTTTCCTTGAAGTACGAGGAGCAGTACTCGCAGACGTAGGCATCACGCAGTAGTTCCATGTATATCTTAGTGCCAAAACAGGCTGACTTCAGCGAGTCCACATGGGCAAGTAGTGTTTCGCGACTGTCGCTCACCAGGCCACATTTGCCGCACACGTGCACGTCCCGCTCGATGATCAGATGCTTCTTCATGTGAATATTGTAGGTGGCTTCGGTGGCGAACTCGCGTGAGCAGAGCTCACAGCTTACCACGCTGCCATGCCTGGCTCTCTGGAAATATAGAACCCAATTAGTTATTAGATCTAAATTTCAATGTCAAAGAGCATCTTACCAAATGGCCATTTAATCGCCCCCGGGACTCAAAGTTAGCCATGCACTCGCCGCAGGAATAGGTTGTGCTGCTCACATTGGCATGCGACTTGTTGTGCTCCATGAAAACGGCAGGATCCCGGAAAGTGCGGTCGCAACTAAAAGAAATAACAGCTTTAAATGGGTATAACCATAGAGAAATGCAGGGCGCTTACAGGTCGCAGAATAAGGTGCCCACAGGCTCATGGGCGTAATTCAAATGCTGGAACAGCTCATCAATATTGGTGCTGGCAAAGTCGCAGACGAAGCAAGCGCGAGGTCTATGTTTCTCCAAATGGAATTGGTTGTGGAAACTGAAACTGTTAGGGAAATTATGTTGTGGGTATTAGCATAAACAAAGTTATGTCGACTTACCGCTTCCAGGATGGAAACTCCAGGGAGCACATCTCACAAAACGAGCGGACACCGCGTTTCTTTTTAATGACATGGGCACACGAGTGCTTGTTGTACTGCAAAATGTTGGAGAAAGTCATTTTACATTCCGGGCAGCTGCCATAAATTGGAATCCTAAATAACAAAAGCTATGGTTAGTATGGGTAAGAAAGGTTTTGAAGAGTTGCATTAGTTACTCAGCCACGGGAGCATGCAACAGAACCAAATGCATGGCCAGGAACTGGCGACCCTTCAGCTCCTTGTTGCAGCCTTCAATGGGACACTGGTAGACATCTCTCCGCGTTCTGTGGGCCTTAACAATGTGACTGAAAAGACTCTCGAATGTGGGACACTTCAAAGAGCAGTGCTTGCACACTGTACACCACTCAAATGTCAGCTTCTCAAAGCTGGTCTTAACCACCGTGGCCAAGTACTCCGAAATGTCATTTATTTCATCCTCTGAAAGGCAGATTTTTGTCTTATATATGAGTTTTGAATTTGCAGATGTAAAACCCACTTTCTTTGATATCAACAAAGTTGAAGAGAACCACATTGCTGGCCTCGCCCTCGTCGATCTCGCCATCGCTTTGGCTTTCCTCGGCTTGAACTACTAATCTGGATGGACGAACCGCCGGCTTAACCTTGACATCTTCCAAGTCTGGATCAAGAATATCTGAAAATACGCATTTTGATTTTGTAGCTTTGGTTGTAGGTGATGAACCAACCTTCATGCTCGTAGATGTATACATCCTCCTCGTCCAGAACAGGCTCAGCCTCGGATTCGTGGTTCAGCAGAACCATTTCGGCTGTGGTTTCCGATTCTTCGGCGATGTGGATAACTTCACTGACCACCTCCTCAGCAACTGTTTCGTCTTCGTCGAGTATGTTTTGTATCAGGACACTTATCTGCTCCTGGTCAGCATCTTTGGGAGCCGGCACTGCTTCAATATTCAGCGGAGAAGTTGCCTGGGGAGGATCCTTGGCTCGGGACGGCGGCTGGGGCGCTGGAATTCCTTTGTTGATCCGGGCACTTGGTTCCCGGATGGGAGTAATGGGCACAGGGCGCAGGACCTTTGCGAGAGGCTTTGGGGGCGTTGGGTGCTTCGCAGGCTTCGCAGCTGGTGGCGGTGCCTCGACCTTGGTGATGATGATAGGCTCCTCCTGCTTGGGCAGCACCTCAGCCTGCAGCTCCTCGTCCTTGGCTGCATTTGCATCCCTTTCCCGCTGCAATTCATCGATGTCGAACAGGCGGATGAGATTGTTGACGCACACCTCGCACAGGAGTTGCTTTTTCTGGGGATCGGGTGCCACATCAATCTGATAGTGCTTGGCCAGCAGCGATTGGAGACCCAGCTCGATTCCGAACTCATCGAATATCTCCTGGTACTGGTATTTCGTACTGAATACGGAGCAATGCAGACAGCTATCGTTTTTCGCGTTTTCCGACATCTTAATCTTTGTCCGTCAGCGAATTTCAGGCGTTAGGACATTTTTAGGTGGTTTTTGCACTTTGTTTTGGTTCCCGCCGCGAGTCTGGTATTTATTTTCTCGCTGCCAGAGTGACCATATACCACAATTTTTAAAATGTAACCGTTATAAAAGTAAAACCAAACCAAACCAAAAGAAACACTTTATGAATTAAGTACTCCGTAAAAAAGTTAATTTATTTGAAAAGCTATAATAATAAATAAAAAAAAAAATAACACACATTATTTAAACTGTCAAAGAAACCCTAAGAGATGGATTAATATCTAGTTTTAACATGTGGTGCAAAGACTTTATTTTAGTTGTATAGCAAATAAAGTGATATTTTTAAGACAAACACAATAATATTTATTAAATTGAAATTTCTAGTTGTCGTGTAGGGTATTTCAATATCTTGTTGCACTTCGCAAATCGCAAATCGACCCAATGACGTAAGTCCTCAATCTGTATATCCCCAGTGTTGCTACTCCGCTGTAAGAAGATAAAACAAGAGTGTAAAACTGAAAGTCCTAGTCTTATATGGCAAAAACTACCTAAGTACATGGGTGCTATCCGCTTTTTACAGATTGAAATCTAGCTGTTGACCCGCTTGAGCAGAGCGAAATAGCTGTAGGAGCAGTTTACAATCTGGAAAAATACGTCTCAAATAAATATACTACATAGATAAGGATATTTCGGATGGCCTACAGAACCGAAGGCCTCCAAGCTGAAAATAAAGGTGGGATTCAAGGTGCGCAGGAGTATCGGTGAGTTGAAGCGCTGCATCATGAGCAGGACAATCCGCCGGTTCGACCTGTTCCATCCTGTCCACTGGGAGCTGTAGATGCTGTGACACAATCTGGAGCTTTGGACAGTCACCTCGTTGGAGGCGTAGCAAACGATGAAGATCTGCCAGAGCATCACCAGTTGGTAGATGCAGGTCTTGGCCATGAAGATGGCATCGCCATTGGCAATCGACATGGTGGACATGTCATACAGATTTGATATCAGCACGAGCACTGAGCACATGACTTGCACGGATCCTGGTACTCTTATGAACAATTCCACCAGATCCTTGAATTGCACAATGTGGTTGTAGTAGGCGGCACATTCGCGCAACTCCTTGGCAATCCTATCATTGTCCCGAGGTCCAACCACAGGGCCCAACTTCTCCAATCTGAGGACCAACATCTGGAGCTGCGCCTTCAAAAAGCAGAGCAGTGAGAAGGCCACCGAATCGTAGGTAATATTGAGGACACAAGTTGACAGAAGACACATGGAGTGATAGAGGTACTGCAGCCAATAGCAGATCATTCCCTGGATGTTGCACACCTCGAACATGGCCAGTGGTAGCTCCTCATAGTTGTCGAAACAGGGAACCAGGAGGATCAACGAGGCCGTTACAATGCATATGATGCCATAGAAGTTCCTCATGTGGACGACCGTCACTCTGGCCGATTCCAAAATCCGCCTTTCCTGTTCACTTTTAACGGCCAACTTTGAGGACAGCATCATCTCGACGAGACCAGCGAGTTTTTCGCTCTGCACCTTCAGGTGCAATAGCTTAGCCATGCAGGATATCTCGGTGGCGAACATGAAGAACACTTTCATGATCTCCCGCACTTCGGAAATGCTGGTTATCAGCGCCAAGGCAAAGAGCAGCAGCATGATGCAAAGGATGACCAGGATGAAGACAAACCGAAGGTAATGAAAGCGGCGCTGTTGGTCCGTGGCCCAAGTGGGAAGCCTCCAGACTCCGAGGATCTCAAAGTACCACACCTGGTACTTGTAGAAGTCCTTCGTTTCCACTTGATCCTGATACATGCTGACGATTTTTACTTTGACCATAAAATCCCTTGCGGAAACGCTTTTATAGGCCACTAACTCACCCGGCTAATAAGGCTAATTATGGAAATTGGCTACAGTGCGCAAAATAATTGAACTAAGAGAACAACCCACCGAGCTGAAAAGCATTAAATCAAAGCCCAGGCTGGGATTTAGGGTCCTTATCCGCAGAGTGGAGTGCAGGCGTTGCATGAAGAGCAGCACAATCCTCCGGTTGGGGCGACTCCAGTCCACCCAAGAGGTCTTGTAAAGCTCATGGGGCAGCTCCAAGCTGCGCTGGGTGACCTCACTGTTGAAAGAGTAATCAGCAATCTGCAGTAAACTTCTAAGATGTCCTCACGCACCCGGCAAAGTAGCACAATATGAAGATCTGACTCAGCATGCATGCCTGATAGGTGATATACTTAAAGAGCGCCAACTTCTGATCGGATAACTACATTTATAATTGAACAACACACAAATTAGATTAACTTAAATATAATTGTAATATATTTTTTTTTATAAACCTTAGTTGTAGAGAAGGAAAGCCAAATGCAAATCCCTAATAGAAACTGCAGGTCGACATTTAGAAAGAAAAGTTCTTATCAATGCAATTTTAATTATAAATAGCTAAAACTTTTAGGAACGCCTCTTAAGAAAAGACTCTAACGCTTAAGCAATCATAGTTTCAAGGAAAAATAATTTTAAATTAAATTAAATTTACTGAAGCTAGAGCTAGAGCATTAAATATAAGTTTCCTACAAATTAAGACGCTATAAATGACAGTTATTAAAAAAAGAAAATCTTTGAATTTTAATTTAAAGAGTTTCAGATCCGCAATCCAATCGAACCATCAAACAAAACAAAAGTATTATGTATTATTTGTATATGGACAACTTGTTAAATTGGGTATAAATATTTCAAATAATTTTGGATGCAATTGGTATTAGCCCTTGAAGCTTATCTATGTTTGTTTGTTTGGAAGTTCAGACAAAATGTTGTATTTTTTATTTATATCTTGAAGTATTGAAAAAGCTTTGTAAATTTAATATTAAATTATGTTGGTTTTGTCACTTGATCCTTTATCTTATATTGTCTTCTTAATATAACTTTAAATTGGGATGATCTTTTTCGATAATAAGTGATAACAAGATGGAAAACGAGATTTACATAGAGGACTTATATAAATTTGGATATCTATTATAATAATTACAGATATCTTCCATTATGTGTACTCACCAAAGCTATAGCATAAAAATTGGCAGTCAAAACCAATACCGAGCAGAAAATCTGCACCGAAATCGGTTTGCAAAGAAGTCGTTCGATAATTTGGGTCAACTCCACGATGGTCATGTGATAGCGGATGTTTTGCTTCAGTTGCTGTTCAACGGAGAATAAACCAGAACTATGAGGCTGACCCATCTTGTCCAGCCTCACCACCAGAATGTCCAGCTGGCACTTAATGAAGATGAACAGCGAGGAGCAAAGGGAATCGAAGCCTATGTTGGTGATGCAGGAGACGGACAAGGCGAGGCACTGGTAGCAGTACAGGAACCAGTAGCCAGGTGAGCCAGGATTCTCGCCAAAGGGATTGTACGTGCCCAATGGCAGGTGGGACCAGTCCAGAACGAATTGGGGTATAAGAACCATGGACAAGGCGGCCAGGGACAGAGTGCCATAGAAATCCCTAAGCTTCCGACTGCTGTCACTGGCGCCCGCAAAGATCACCTCCTCGTCGGCGCCCTTTGGCCGGAAATCGTCGTCGTCCAACCGCTGGAAGAGCTCCTCCAGCGCCACATTGTTGGCCTTAATGCTGAGCAGTTTGGTCGTATGTCCCACACTGGTGGCCAGCACAAAGATGGCCCTGACAACCTCCGACATGTCAGTCAGATTGGCCACCACGTGCATCACCAGCAGCAGATCGAAGAGCAGTACCCAGAAGCAGATCACATGCACATAGTTCACCTGGTGGCAGATTCTCCGCCAGTGTTCATCCTGTGGCCACAGCGAGAAGATGTTCAACAAGGACTTCTGGCCCTGGTAAAAGATTTCCGCACTTTTCCTCATTTCTTCTTGACGTTTTTCTTTGAACTTGAGTACAATTGTTTTGTGCCGAGTGTTTATATGGCTCCTCCGAGGGCATTTAAAAAGTCGTTAGGCGGTTCCAATTGTTCGCTAATCGTACTGGTGTGTCTTTCACTAAGCAATAATTATCATACTTAAGACAATTAAAAAAAAAATGTTTCTCTTAATAAATTAATATGTGTTATACGATGTTTAGTTGCGATCTAACATAATATTTTTCCCATAAATATTTCGTATTTTATCCAAAAAACATCTTCATGATTTAAGTATTCTTATCTCACACAACACATTTTGATAATATTTTTCTATCGACAAATATGGTTTTGATGTACATCCCAGAAAATTCAACTAGGTAAAGTTTTACTTAAAATTTTATTAAACCCTTTTTTTGCCGTGGAACTGATTTTCGCATTTTCCCTTTGTGTGCGTCTGTTAAATAAAAATACTAAATAATTCAGCCTGCGATTATTACGCAGGACAATTTGGTCATAGTCCTCGGATGAAATATGCACAAATGCTTCAATTTTCAGAGTGGGAACTGCCTGGGATCGCAACAGAAGGTGAATCCTTCATCAGGGTTATTCGGGAGACCCAGGGGGCAATTAACCGGATGACAAACTTCCAGACATTGTGGCCTCTCCCGCGAGAAGGTATTGTTGTAGGTGAGAAAGACGTACAGCCCATTACCACTGGCATCCCGCACCACTTTGTAGGTCCACTCGGGCACTGGGATCTTGGAGTCGGAGAGGAATGCCGGCTTAATGGTTCCCCTGGCATCTGGTAAATTCAGAATGCCAATTCCGCCGGTCTTGATGCGATAATAACTCGACTGCGGGATCTGACTACGCACCCACCTCTCGATTTTCTCCCAGTTACCATCGTTAATCGACTTAAATTGCGGCACCACATTCAGATAGCGAAAGGTACTACCCATCTGGTCCACGAACAGGAAGTCCGCTGAGGCCACCAGGTGACCTCGATTGATCACCAAGGAGTTGGCACTTCGCAAGTAGGACTGCTCATCGCCATAAATGCATTTGAAAGCGAAGTATATGTTGGACTTCATATAGGCAGCGGCCTCCTTTGGACTGAACATCTCATCGGTCACAAATTCGACGAACGGTCTCCTGGGAACTATGAGGGATTAGGCATGGATTATTATCTGTAGTTTAAGGGTTATACTTTCGCACACGGAAGATAACTCTCCTCAATTTCAGTTAATATTCGCTGATTAAAAGAATGGAATGGATGGTAAAAACAAATACCTGGCTACTGAACTCAAAATGTTGTTCCATATTAACAGCATAACTTAATATTAAAATATTTTATATAACGTGGAAAGTATTAGATTTAAGTTATTTATAATTGTATTATATATATATTAATAAATTTTTTTAATTTAAATGAAATTTTCAGATGTTAAAATCAATTTTAAAAAGTTCAAATGAGAAATTTGAATTTTTTTGTATATTTCTATATTAAAAATAACTTAATACCTTAATAGATAAAATTCAAAGCGAATCATTTTTAAATTTAGTAAGAAATACTTGGAAAATTTAGGGACTATTAGCGGTTTAGAAAGCTACATATAATGGTGTGTAAAAGTATACAATAATATATTTAAAATGTAGTAGTCCGTTGGATTTTTATCGAAAGACGTTAATTTTTAGTTCATAAGTTTAAAAAAAACTCATAGTTTGTTCATAACTCAGGCAGAGTGTTAAAGGGTTGACTATAAGTTAAGCAGAGTTAAAGATATACTCACAGAAAGTCTTGAAATAGACATCGCTCTGGGAGTACAAAACCCTACCCTGGGCGGCATTAAAGCAGGTTCGATATAGTTCTAGATTCTTTCCGTCTATCGTATAACCCACGGCATACAAGGTTCCCGGGCAATCGCCATCCCGGATCCGGGTGGTCATCGGTTGCATTGGATTGCCGCATCTCATGGGCAGCGGAACTGAAAACTGACCGCTGTCCTGGCATTGAGTTTCCACCATGTCCGAGGGATTGCAGTACATGAGCAGAGTGACGCCGGTTGGAACGATTTCCCTGCGCTGCAACTGTAGTGATCCACTGGCATCGCGATAGGTGAAAATCCTGTTTGATCCCTCCACCATATGCTGTGCTATTCTACAATCGCTTTGCACTTGCAAAGCTGCCACATTGACACAATTAATAATAAAGGGTTATAACTTACCAGAAATTTGATAGACTCACCTAAAGAGCACAGCAAAGTTAGGTAGATGGATATGTAGATCTGATTGCCAGCCATCGGATCTAGAACTCCTATTTACTTTTAAATTTTGAATATATGCCAAAATAAGAATTGAACTAAATGAGATTTTACATCAAACTAAATTTTGGGGAACTCCCCAAAATCACAAATTAAATTTGTATCTATCAATTTTAGTTGTCTATGATTTCGATAACCACATTATAGAGTCATCAACCCTCCGAAAAATGATATAAACTTATTATATACTAAACCCATGGAATTAACACACATATAGACCTTTTTTTGACAGTCCACTTGTGGATAACACTTTATTGCTTCTATCACATACAAAAGTTGTTGTTTGGTTGCTAGTTGAACTCTGCTTCGAAACAATTGCTCAATTCTTGTATTCGTGGTACTGTACTTGAAGATAATAATCATTATTGTAACTTTATGTTGCTTTTTTTTTGGGTTTTTTTTCTTTCTACTTCAAATAATTGATATTGGTTGGGTTCTACAAACAAATATATAATCGTTATATAAGTGATAAGCATACGCCATAGAAATAGACGAAAATTAAAAGTAGAAAAAAGAACGAATCGAAATGCGATTGCAATAAAGAGAATTAAATGTGCATATGTGGTCATATAAGGTAGGTTATTTAAAATACATATATAATAAACAAAACTTAAAGTGAGGACTGAAAACGAAATCTTAAATATTTTGCACTATTTCTTTAACGAAGATTTTGGGGATTTTAGGGAACAGGGGTTTTCGGGTTGCTTGCTTTATACTTGTTCAAAATTGCTGCGCGAAATCTCATACAAATTGAAGCATATATAGAAAACGATTTCAATATGCCATCGAACAGCGTGTAAATGCTATAAACTATACTTGGTTGCTCGAATGGTGTCTACAGTGGGACTACAGTGGGACTACGTAGCCGTAAGATCTTTCAATTGTTGTCCTGCTTGTTGATCAGCTTGAGGATGACCTTGCCGGCCTGCACCTCCAGGGCATAGAGGCTGCCGTCCTTGATCTCGTTGTTGAGCACCTCGTCGGTGACGGTGACAAGGATGCCCGACGGCCCCGATATGTACACGCAGCTCTTGTTGGCATCGTTGAAGATATTGGAGCCGCTGCCCGAGTACTTGGACTGCATGCCCCAGTTGTTGAACAGGGCGGCAGCGGCAGCAGCAGCGGCGGCCGATCCTCCGGCCCCATTCTCCTGGGCACTGGCCTTGGCCATGAACTCGTAGAAGCCGGGCATCTTGAACAGCTTCTGCTGCAGCTCCTTGGCCGTGCACGACAGCAAGTAGATGGCATTGTAGCTGCAGCCATTTAAACTGGCATACAACGTCAGCCTCGGAGCAATGGTCCTGCAAGAAGGCATAAGTTTATCAAATAGAGTATGTTCGTATTTTCCATAATTGAATTTGCAAACTTACTTGGCGCGCAATATGTTGAACATGCGGATGCCATCGGCCAGGCCGCAGATTTGAATTAAATCCTCCTTGGACATGCTATAAATAAATAAACGAATATAAATAAATCAAAATAAAAACAATTTATATGCATATAAGCTCATAAAAACCCCATTGAGACCATAGAGTAATAGCTAGTAACAAGTCAAGCATCTAAAGCGACTCATTTAGTAATCAAAAGAGTTTATGGTTAAGTTTGATGTTCCTTATCAATTGGCTGTGTATTCATGTTATCCTGTAGTCATTCCCCATTTGTTTCGCTATCTTTTAGATGTCAGTCAATAAGATTACCCAACTGCTGGCTAACTGATTGAAACTTTGTACTAAATTGCCTTGGAAAAATGAAATGGTAATCAAAAACACTCAAGCACTCTTAGTTTGCCAGACAAATGGTTCTTATTGACAAATTGTCTGGCAATTGGATCAACAATTCAGTTATTATGTAAGAGGTTTTGCGTTGTAACTGTTATCAAATAAAGTATGTCAAACAATGGTTATCACTAAACTTTCTTGATTAGACAATAAACTTTTGTGTTTTCGAGTTTTTAACAAAATGCAACGCTAAAAAGCAGGTTGGGACCTAATATTTCTAATAATATATAGATTATACAATAGTTTATATAGGTATTATTCTAAGTCAATCGTATAGTTAATTTTGTGCTGCACTACTTACCGCATGATATCCGCTCCCGAGAAGTGGGCGAACGTCGAAAGATAGGTTGTGAGGCGATGATTGGTCAGCCACTGCGTCACTTGCGAGGGCGTCGATTCCGGCATTATGTTCTGGCTCTGATATGGGCAGTAAGGGGTGGATTAGTTTGATAGTTTTTGGGGTGCAGTGGGGCAATGACACCTACATAGTCGTCCATGTCGGCGGGCACATGCTGCGGTGAGACCATGCTGGTGGCTTCCATCAGCTTGAGGGTGGGCGAATTGGTCGACGTCACCGAGTTGATGGCAATGGGGCTGCTGCTGGTAGCCGGAGATGCTGCACTTGGGGCAAACGGAAGCATCCCATCATACTTGGGTATGTGCACCGGCGAATTTGGCCAGAGTTTCATACTGCAAAGGGATGAGAGAACAGAATGGGATTAATACGCATAAAGTCTGACTGATGGCTCATCCTACAAATCCAGTAGAGCTCGTTCTGTATCTGGCGTTGGCAGGAGCGACGATCCTTCAGATGCAAGCGCATGTTCGCGAATGCGCGGGACTCCTCGATCGCGAAATTCGCATTTTGAACTTCCCATCCTGTCCCGCAGCCCGGAGAATCTGGTTTGCTCTTTGTTGGCGAACCACTCGCCTTGTTTACAAGCCACCCGATACGCCCTGTTGCGGCTGATTGGCTTGGCAAACCCGTTTCGAGTCTATTTTATTTTATATGGCTGCCTTTCTATCGGGGAACTTTTCCAGACTTTCGTCTTTCACCCCATCCCCCGAAATACCACAGTCACTTCCGGTTTTTTGAATGGATAGTTTGGGCCATAGGATAGCTTTTCAGCCTGTGATCGATATAATCGATCCTAACAAAACAAGACCTTATACAATCCTCATATCATTTGCCATTATTATCTATAGTGCTCGGCCTGCAAACAAACAAAATCATTGAGCAGAAACGAATACCGAAAACCGGTTAAAAGCAACTTTAAACTAAAAATAGCTTTGGGGCAGACGCAAAAACAACAAAGACCACGGCGCAAAATGCTCTTAGCTGATCTCTTAGCGCCCAATGATCCTTCAATGGCTCTCTCCAGATCTCGCCACAACTCTCCCCTCTCTCTCTCTCTTTGTATCTCTTTCTCCCGATTCTCCCTATTCTCCCAAACTCTCGCCAATCGAGGGGTATTCTCAGGCAGATGCAGAGAATACTCGCTCTCAATTCGATTGATCTTTATGATTTGGTGATCATGCAAATGACAAACTAAATGATTTCCCCTGGCACTCGTTGTAGGAAAATTCCACTGGAAAGTGCGTTTCGCAATTGTAGGGCAATGACAGATGGCTTATACTATATTTGGTAAAACGTATCTCTTTGTAGTCATTTTGGTATCAAACCAAGAAAAACATTTGATGTTACCACAAAATCGAAAGCTTATTAAATTCGAATGTTTGTTTACACTCAAAAAACATAAATAAACATAATGTTTTTGATGTTTTTATTTAAACAATTTCATTTTTTATCTCAAAGTAAAACTTTACTGGTAGCACTCGAATATAAATGTCTAAAAACTTAAAGATTTAAGGTGTTGTATATATAGTTATAGTCTTATGTTTGTTTATCAACGTTATCCATGATTTTACATACTCCGAAACTATTTGTTATAGTCCACAACATATATAATCCTAGCCACTACTAGACTCATTATTTTTTCCACAAAGAAATCAACCGAGAACCTACTTAAAAACAAAACCAAAATCTATAAATGAATTTGATTGGCATTGAAAAATAACTGAATGCCAAAATCCTATTGACGTTATAAAATATGTGCTTTTATTTGGCCTAGCAAGATTAACTAACGAAAATATGTATGAAAGTCCTTTATAAGCAAATCATACATTGGCCTAAGTGACATTAAATGCAGTCCTAACACGCCACCTTATGGCTCTGAGCCGCACTGTACGGGCTGAAAGGGGAACAAGTATATACGTGATACGTAATATGCACTTGATCTTAACTGGAAGTTATGTAAATGGTTGGGACTGCAGTCGCTGGGTCCGTAAATCAAAAAGTTCAGGCCGTAGCTGTCACATAAATAAGACTTGTGGCAAAATTGGCGAGCTCAATTGGAAGATTGCGGGACAGCGCAGCGAAATAAATTGTAGCTTAATTCTGGAGCAGAAGCTATGCCAGCTGGAGAGATTCACGCTCCCCCACTATGTCTCTGTTATACAGTTATACTGTTATACTCACTATTCCGGACTGTAGCAACCAGTGGTGGTGGTAGGCATCACCAGATCCAGGGATATATCGTTCATGATGGTGCACTCGTAGCTGGGCTGGAACTTATCCTGTTCCGACTGCGGACGCTTCTGGATCTTCTCGCGATCCTGCTTGTGCTTGCGATCGGCTCCCTTTAGCTTGAAGACCTGTAAGAAGTTGGGATTTAGTATACGTTTTCCGTGTGCTTAAGATGGGAAAATATAAATATTGGCGGACATTTCTCCTGAGCGGACAATTCTCTTAAGCGGACAATTTGTCCATACTAATTTATACTGTTTATAGAACAGAATTATTAGAATTATTATAAGTTACAAACAAAATTGTAATATAAAAATATATTACCATTCAATCTCTTTTTGGATTGTCTGGAATAACTGTTGGTCAGAGATATCAATACCCCTTTTAGGTTATTTTAATTGGCACAAGCTATAAATGTTTATGGAACTTGCTTTTCTTACTTTTCTCTGCCTGCTGGGTAAAAATTTATCTCGGTAACCGGACAAAAAAAAGTCTCTTTTAAGCGGACATATGTATATTTCTGTTAACGGACAAGTTAATGCACTTTGACTGGAGGAGCATCCACACTTACCTTGATCTGGCAGGCAGCTGCGTGGACCGCCTGTTTGCCGTTGTTGTTGCCGCCGCCGCCGCCGCCATTGGCCATTGGAGACCTTTCCGGAGATGCTGGGGCAGTGGAACCACTGTTGCCGCTACCGCTGCTGTTGCCACCGGCGCTACCGCTACCGCTATTGCTACCGCCAGTGCTGTTGTTGCTGCCGCTCGAGCCGCCCGAGTTGGTACTGTTCGTGTTTTCTATATAGGTTTCAATCTGCAGTCGGAAGGGCACTCCCTTCTCGCCGCCGTGCTTCTTTGGAGTAAATTCGGTTGAAATGCAGTTGACCTTGATGTAGACGCCGACCTCCTTCAGCGGATCCCAGAAGATCTCGACGGTGTTCAGTGAGCCGGAGCTCAGTGGCTGCGACACGTGGCACAGGCCGTACGAGAGCGGTACGTCCACCTCAATGATGCGTTCGCCTGGGCGGGATTGCTGCCATTGCTGCATCTGCTCGCGCTCCATGAACTGGAGGCGGCGCTCGTGGAAGCAGATCTTGATCACGCTCTGCAAAGAGGGAAGTGCGAAGGGAGGGCGATGTAGTTGTGAGTTGTGGTTGTGGCAAGAAGTGAAGTCAATCGGAAAGTTTTTTTTTCGCACACGCAGATTTCACATGTACATAGCGGAGGGGATGATTTCTGCCTCCCAGTCACATCTCTCAAGTCGACCGGCTTAATTGGAGCTTATTAAAATCAATTGAGCCCCCCCCAGATACACACATTCGGTCACACAACACAGACTCGCCGACCAAGTCTCTCACTCGACGGTCAAATAATTCACCGCATCACATGACTCTCCGCCTCAATTGGAGGCTGCGGACAGGGACTTTGGACTCACCTTCAGTATCTTATCCCTGTAGAGGGACAGGTCGCCGATCTTCTTCAGCTTGATCTCGTAGCTCTGGCCCTGGTTGAGATACGTCAGGGTCTCCTCGTTGTTCTTGGTGGCAATCGAAGTGGCCGCTGCCAAAATGTACTGAAATCTGAAATGGCAAGGAAGTGATTATAATCTTTTAGCTTAAATTCCCATCAGTCGCATTTGCTTTTCAAATCTACTTCCTTTGTTTTATACGCTATTATCCTTTCTGATGCTTTGAAATCTTTATTAGTATTTGCCTATTCTTAAGTATGTGGTTTGTAATAAACTTTTATATAGAGAAAATCACTGGATATTAAAGTTTTAATTGCTTTAACTACTTTAAAAAAGAGACCTTTCTAAGGTCAGATAAACGTTTACAAAGTTTTTTTAACTAAACCCAAAAAAAAATGGTTATATTGTTACATGAATTTTAAACTATTGGATATGAAAAATTTCTCAATAATATGAGTATTAAATTTTTACCACAAAAGTACCAAAATAAAAAAAAAACATCGGTATAGAAATGCTAAAATATTTAGAATTGAATGAATACTTATAATTTAATACTGACAGTAGATTAGTTACAAGACAAAATTATTAAAACTAAACTGTAGACTATATGTTATGTGACCCAAACTCTTAACCAGCCTATGAAATCTCTTCAAGAAGAACAAAACTACTTTATGACACTCACTTGTGATCCTCGGAGTGGGTAGCTCCATTGGCCGAAACGATCTCGATCTTTGCCGGATCCAAAACGCTTAGCTGCTGCTGCTGCTGGAGTTTGCCCTTCTCGTTCAACTCATACTCAGTGTTGGCCAATGGCGAACCCTGCGGTGAGCCACATCCGCAGACGAGGCCAGAGTTCACATCATGTTTGCCGTTTCCGACCGAACCCGATCCGGTAGCCGACTCCTGGCCGGAATTGGCATGCGGCGGTGAGTTCTGGGAATCGTCCAGCTTGGCAACGGCCACGGACGGCGATCGTGCTGCATTTTCCAGGGAAATCTTGGGACTCGGCTTGATGTGCTCCGTCTGCGGCTCCTGCTTCAGGGTGGTCAGTGTGGGCGAGAACGACAGGAAGTTCTCACTGAAGGCGGAGGAGGGTAAACGTAAATTGGATCAGATTTAATTTAGGTTTGCATTCGGAGGGCCTCTGGTCTTACTTGTTCAAGTACGAGTTGCTGTTAAACTCGGCATTCAAATCGAAGCCAATATCATCGCTCCAGCTGCTGCGACCTGCGAATTTGAAGAATACCATAAGCTACATTTCAACCCATATCTGGCACGTTTGAGATTTCTTTTAAATTCGAACTGTTATCACAGAGTGACGCACTCAAAAACCATCGACGACCTTAAACCGTTGACGTCAAACTTGTGTCTTGGCCAAAATAAATTCTGCGACATTTTGTAAGGCCAATTTATAATTAAATGATAAACACGTAACTATAATTTTTGTATAGCTTCAGCTAGTGCTTTTCTACTGGTCCCCATTACAATGTAATTATGTCTATTTATGGAACACAGCGTGTAATTCGGGATGTTCTAATGAGGCATTTTAAGGTATATTTATATTTTTGTTAAAATGAAATTGATTCTTACAAAACCATGGTGGCTAAAATAAGAACAGCAGATACAAAAGCACGTTTTTCCATGCGTCGATCTGGCGATAAGTTATTTTAAGTTCTATAACTTCATGTTTCTTTTCCTAGATTAAGCTTTTAGAAAATAAAATCAATTTCTTATGGATGAACAGCTAAAGTTTTGATGATATTCACTTTATAAGTTAAGAAAAATTTGTCCAAAACAGAACCACAAATTTGCACACCATTACTTTCAATTGTTTTTACAAAATTCCTTCAAAAATGAATGTGGCCTTTAATGAATACATGTTTGTAATGCCTCGTTAATTGATTTAATCTGCCTACAGATAGAATTTGGGCTTGTGTGGGTTCCATCGGACAATACATATCTCGATCACAATTGATTCAGAGTTATCCAAGAACGAATGACGCACATCGCATTGCCGCTGCTCACTCATTTCACATTCGCGATAGTGTCACAGACAATTGTTTGATTAAAAGTATCTGTAAATGTGGACATTGGGGCATCAAATAGAATGGATGCTCCCGCTTAGTTCCCTTGACAAATGGCAAGGGGAAATGGCTTCCATATCATCTTTATAGCCTTCGCTTATATAAACGGCCAATGTGGGAAAAATGCCTGACAAAGGGAAAGGCCATTGGGACCGCCGCAATGATCTAAGATCGGTTGTTGCCTGCTCTATAATCGTGGAGTTCTGAAAAAAGCCAGCCTAATAGCGGATTGTTGGACGACAAAACGCTAGCATTTAGTCTTATCTGCGCCGAGTGCCACCAATGCGGATGATAAGCCATCAGCGAGAGGGGCAGAGCTTTAGATTGGACTCCAAATTATATGGTCGGGTCCCCACACACACCACACACACCACACACACCTACTGCCTACCCGAAACGGTTTGTTCCGAAGTGTATCAGTGGGCCAGTGTCATGTCGCGACCACTCGTTTCGATGTAATTAGTCCGAAGGCCCTGCGTGATTTTCGGTGCAATCGCAAGGGCATATCTACAAAGTGCAAAAGGGTTCCGTCGGCTAGGGGTTTGTTCGGGCCATTGGAAAAGTACTGAGAGAAGATTTATTTCTTTACTGGCAATCTATTATTAAAGCTCCATTGATTAACACAAGTCGAGGTGCTAAGTTAATTACTGTTTTATGGCAAGTTTGAACCATCGCAGGCTGTTAATTTCATTACTGCCACCGAACTTCGATATTAAAACCCATCGCATGCTAATGATTTTATGAAACTATTTAAAGACTGTGCCTCTCAGAATGCAACTCCGCCTGCACCAGGTTTGCCCAACTACTTGAAACACCTCGAGTTTAACCTTTTGTCGAGCTCAAACCTTAATTGTGATCTCACGCATATGTCGCATTACTCCATGTCTGATAGACACAGACTAATTAGCGATCATATTCCTCTGTTTATACGCCACTTAGCACCTGCCAACAGAAAGACTCACGTTTGTCTTACAAACTTACGATCGAATTAGTCGATAGATCGATCTCGTACATCTGTCTGGGCATTCCAATATGTATTCATACTTATACAGGGACGTATAATCAAAGAGGAGCAACTCGGAAACGGGTTCTTTTCAGCTGCAACCACAGGAAGAAGTCCCAAGTCCGATCGAGGCTTTTTTAATTCTTGCTTTCATCAATTGTGGGTCACCGTTCATTTTATGCAAATCACCAAGCAAGACAATTCAATGAACAATATAATTTGTATCGTACTTGTGTTGTTTTAATCATCTTTAGAATGAGAGTGTGACATTATTAGACCCCTTAATTATTTTTTGATATCATCAAAGAATATTCGATTTTAATTTAGTCGCTGGACCTGTTTTCAGTTGCTTTATAAATTATCAAGGCAACATTTCCAAGCTTCTGGGCTTTACTTTTGATTTACAGCGATTGAATCAAGTCGATTTCAAACTTATTGACCTCGTATACTTTTTAAACTTACAACCTTTGAAGAAGTAACGTAAAAAATTTAAAATATTCAAAACGAGAACATACATTTGTTGCTCGTCTTTAAGCGATAAGAATAAAGAATTTTTTAGGGGACTTTATTTGAAGATGAGTCAGTAAAAGTTGTTTGACTTGGGGAATTCCGAAACATAAACTGCATGAAAGTTTAGGAACACAACTATAGTGGTCTGCTACTGATTAATAATCATAACATGAGTCAAAATACTAGAAGTGGGAGAATGTAAAGTGCTCACGATCAACTGATATTTCCATTAGCTAAAAAACCACTATCATTTCATATCATATGACCGCAACTGTATGTATATAAAGTGCCAAGTTCTGATTAGGTCTAACTTAGTGTACATTTTAGTAGAGAACACTGGATTTCCTCATTAATTTATGCGATTATAAACCATAGTGATAGTTAATAGTGATGAAGATCTTACCCGAGTGCTTCTCGCGCTTGTGCTTGTCCTTCTCCTGATTAGCCACTTTGCTGGGCAGCTCGCCGCTCTGCGATGCTGTGGGTGAGTTCTCACTTTGGCCAATGTCCAAAGAGTCCCAATCCATTCGTCTTTTGCGTGAGCCGCTGTTCAGGTAAATGGTCTGTACGTCGATGATCTGCGGTCCCGGCGAGTCCTTCGACTGGGCGTCTACGACAATCGTAATTTGTTCGATTAGCGAGCTGGTCTCTGTGTCGAAGGTGATGACGAGATAATGAGATGATAATGATGGATATAATGAGGTGAGCTGACTGATCTGGGTGAACTGATTGCGGCAGCCTTACCTGTCCACGATTCCTCAGAGTTTGGCGGCGAGTCAACAAAGTTGATCACTTGCTCATAGTCCGATCCAATATGCTGGTGGTGATAGCCGCTTATGAAGTGGCGGTTTTGGATCTGGAAAACCGAAACGGAGAGGATTTTAGTTTGAATCAATGATAGAACCGAATCAGAGCCAGAGCCAGAGCCAAGCTACAAAGCGTGTCTAGCCGCCAACGAGGCTATGCCCTCTCAGCATTATCTCGATTAAGTCCAGCTGGAATACTATATATGTAGGTTCGAACCTTGCTGATAAGGCGGCTAACAATCTCGCCCATGCTCTCCCAATCCCTCTTTTTTTCCCTGCATCGAGAGAGAGTGGGTGAAAACACCCAACGACTTATGTTTTCTTTGTCGATGCCGAGCCGATGAGGACTCGAATGCTTTCGAAAGATAAGTTCGAAACACGCTGCGATGTGTGTAAACAAAACGGAAAATGGCTCAGCTTGAAGAGCTGGGCAAAGAAGACCCAGATCATGCGGATATATATAAACGGACATCCAAAAATAAAGAAACAAAAAATACGAATATCGACTGGGCGAGTGAGACCGACTGTTGACGTAACATTTGCAACTATTTATTAAGCGCAGTTCTGTTGTTTTTCCCTCCATCTGTCCACCACAACTTTGTTATATGATACACCCCGCCATATAGTATAATTAGCAATTGAACTATATATTTATATTTGCCTCAAGGCAAATAGATTTTGCTAGCGAATCTTGAGTAGGTTTCTTCATTTACTTGTAAAAAAAAACATTAACAGTGGGTTTTCTGTTTAAAGAAGCAAACTAACGATGGTGTGAAAAACAGTTGAATAAACATTTAGTGCTAAAAGTAGTCTGAACACTTTCAAATAGGTTTAAATGAAAATATTTTGTAACTTGAACTTCCTTTGTGGCAGATACATATGATCAAAACATCTTCTATTACAATTACAACCTAAACCTATTTAAGCCTGGAAAAAGAAATGCGTTGGTGACTTGACCTTTAAACTCACCTGATTTAGATTTTCACTTACACTGTTATTAGTGTTGGTGTTGTTGGTGTTCTGGGTATTACTGTTGTTGTTGATATTATTACTCTGATATTGATTGCGATTTATATTGTTATTGAATTCCATTTGGTCGAATTCGTTGAAAAGGTTCAAATCGAACTTCGTTGGAAGGGTGCGTTGTTGGTGTTGATGTTGTTGTTGTTGAAACTGTTCCGCTTGTTGATGTTGTTGAATGTGATGTTGGGGGTGGTGGCTCAAATGTTGTTGTTGTTGTTGTTGTTGATGATGAGAATATTGTGGATCAAATATGCTTTGTAAATCCAACAGACCGGAGTTTTGAGAAAGAAACGAAAGCGCCATTCGGTAAGTGAGTTAACGGCGTTGGAATCGCGTTCTGTTCTCTTTTAGTCCTTGATTTTTTGTTTGTTGTTGTTTTATATTATAGCCGCCTGAATGATTGGATTCCCCCGAAATACGAAATACCGCTTCCGACCGGAGTCCTTTCGCCAGCAATTTTGTTCAAGTTTTTTGGTGCAACGCGAAATGCAACAAAAGTGTTGGATTGATGGTAATAGTAATATTCGAAGTAGAAACTGTTATTGATCGACTGACACTTACGGCTTATTTGCTTAGGTTAACATTTTGGCTTGTTCAAAATGCTCATATGACACACTTAATCAAAACGTTCGTCGCACAGCACTTGGATATACGAGGTCTAACAATATGCACTTGACGTGAGTTCTACTAACAACCAAATAATATCTCTAGTTTATTCATATATATTTAATATAGGTAAAACATTTATAACTTGCTTTTTTTGTAACTTTTCTAACTTGGCTCACAATTGAGTGGAATTGGAATTGTTGCGTTGTGCGTAATGTGTTCTTAGGGCCTTTTCCGGGGGGGATTCGGCGGGGATTGGCCCGGGGGCAAATTAAAACAATACGAAAAACGAATTGTATAGTTTCTTGATACCGGTGGTCTCACGCTGACGATGGCTTCGAAGTAGGGTATTTTCGATTTTTAACAGCATTTTGGTCCGGAGATACATATAGCTCGATTTCGACTGATATTCATTAGACATGTGCTGCAGTCGTATTTCAGATTTCTCCATTTATTTCTAAATCGGTGATCCCGAGTTGCAAGTTCAAATTGGTTGATGTTGGTTATTTGGTACAGGTCTCACTGGCACTTGTAAGACTTGTGTAACGGCGGCGATTCTACGACGCTGTCTCTAGCTCTGTTTGCTGGTTGTTTGGACCACTGTCAGATGGCGACGGACATTATATAGCAGTTGTTTACGCTGGAATCGAATATTGTATATATATATATATGTTTTACTGATAGCACAGGCTTCGCGACTGTTTTCCTAGGCGATTTCCTCACAATGCTTTTGAAGTTCTCTGCTTTCGAGTTTTCCGTTTGGATTTATTTGGGGGTTGCTTTTTGGTGTTTATTTAGTCACTGTCAGATATGCGACAACATTCCAATTAGCAGTTAAAGCTGTGGACACTTGTAGGGGTTCGATTCCAAAAATAGGATTATCAATGGTGCTATATAGCTGTGGGTTTTCCTTGTTTTTAAGACACTGTCAGAAGGCTGACATTATTCCGCTGTTATTAAGGCTGGATACTGATACTGATATCACTGATGACGATTGTGGGGGTGTTTTTTTTTTTTTAACTTTTTTTGCGATTCAACAATGGGTTAGACCAACGGTTTTAGACACAACTACTCGGTTTGCTCGACGATTTAGCTCTGGCTTGCACTGACTTTGCGACGTTACTGTGAAGTTGATTCGCTTGATTTTCGCTCTTTTTTTTTTTTTTTTTTTTTTGTATGGGTGTTATCGCGGGCTTTACGTTTGTGTTGGGGTGTTATATATCAAGCTGGGCGAGATGCCAGTTTCTTGGATCGTCACTTTTTTTTATTGGGGGCCTAATTTTTGCGGCGGCGAACAGGTTTTTTGTTGGGGCTAATTATTCACAAAATGCTCTCGTCTTTCATTAGGCGAATTAGGGTTTTTTTTGCGAGTTTTTTTTCTTTCTTTGCTTCACACGATTTAGCACTGTATTTACGACAAAACGGAACGTTTTTTATCTGTGGATTCTGTTTTGCGATAACGATAACGGTACGTTACGGTACGATTCGGTGGTTGGTGATAACTTTGGCTGCCAATTCAATGGGTTAAATATATGTATAGTTTTGGATTTACTTTCTGATGGCCGGACTCTGGCGAGCGTGCTAAAGGAGCACTTTTAGTCCGACGAAGCGAGGCTTCGAAAAGCCCAAAGAGACGAGCATTTTGTGCGGCAGAACCTTGGTCGAGCGGCAGCCAACGCGGACACGAGGTTAAAATATCAATGAGTTGTGTGAATTTTCGCCGTTAGCGGGAAACTACAGATACACCAGAATTCGGAATCAAAAAAGTGCGATGCGATGCGATGGAAGGAATAAAAACCGTTCCAATCAAGACGACGTCGCTGCTGGGTTGTCACCAATACGAGCGCGGAAAAAAAGATCGCGGGCCGAGTGCCCGAGTTGCGATCACGACGGGGGCGGCACGGGAACGGGATCACTTTTCGGAATTAAGCCGAAGATGCTGGCAAATTGATGCGGATGCTGCTGCTGCGCTGCTGGCTCTCTGCTGACGTCGCTGCTATCACTCAAATTGATTGTGGCAACAACAAAGTGTTTGTCTTGTTGAAGTGCTCACACACACACACACGTACACTCTCTTTCTCTCAATTGGAAAGGGCTTTGTGTTGTTATTCTGATTGTTATTGTTATTGTTGCTGTCGCTGCACTTGTTGCTTTGCTTGATATTCCGTTACTCTCGTTCTCAGCTGTTTTTCCACGTTCTTTTGTGTGTATATCGGCGTTTCGCTGCGAATGGCAAAGCAAAGCCAAGAAGAATGCTATAATAACAATAAGTTAATTAATTCAACTTGCTGTGGCTGTGGCTGTGTGTTGTGGAATTTTCCCTCAATTTGTTTTTGTTGCTTCTGCAATTGAATTCAATCGTTTGGCTTGTATGTATCAGTGTTTGTGTTGATTTTTTTGGGCCGTTTTTACGATGCGCGCGTCGATGACGTATTAAATTTTTGGCACGCACACTTAAAGACGCAAGACCAAGAAAAATAGACTCGCTAATTAAGCTTTTCCGCTCGCGATAAACAATAAAAACTCGTCAACGTGTTAAAATTTTCTGCTGCTTTGCTTATTGCTGATGATGCTGCTGTTGTTGTTGTCGCTGTAGTTGTTGGTGCTCTTCCAGATTAGTTTTACACTCCTGCATAAAATCGCTGAACATGAACGTGTGTTTTAACCGATGGTACAAAAAATAATGATGGCGAGCGCACGAAATCAGCGCTAATATTAACACAAAACACAAAAACACTAGCCCGCTATATCTCTCTCTCTACTCTCCCGCTCTCTCTTTCTCGCTCCCGACCGCACGGCTCTAAAAGAGCAGCGCAGTCCGCTCTTCGGCACACATACTAAGACCCACTGGCTGCCCCCCAATGTAACTGTGTGTCTTGTGGAATGCCATAAAAACAAAGGCAAGGCTAATTTCCCATGGCACGCACTTTCCAAGAGACCTTAACTAGCCCCTTCCAGGTTTCATTAGACCTGCTTCCAGAAAGAGTTCAATTTTTTTGGGGCTGACTTGCATTTGTCAGCAAAGGAAAAGGCAACAACGAATCTTAGTGCTATTTATCAACAAGAACAGCTGTTACCCGTTAGTCGCTGCCCCAAAGAGCAGCTACTAAACTAAAGAGAGTTTTCGCAGAGTGCACCTGCTTGGTATTTTTGTGTGGGCGCCATATGCTCTTCAGAGTTGCTCACATATGGCGTCGATCTATGTATAGCTAGAGTGGACCAGTAGGTTCACGGATGGTCAATTAAATTGGTAATTAGATTATGACTTGTAAAATTTGTGCATTTTTATATAAATCAATTTAAAACGATTCGAAATTGAAACTATACAACAGTATTTTTATATTCATATTGATTTATGTGTTTTTTTTTTCAATCTGGTTTTTAATTGAAGTATCGAAAATTATTTAAGTCATATGTCATATTGTGAATGCAAACTAATGTATGTACATATATACAACTATTAAGCCACATTTTTGGGATGAGCACCAGGGTCTAGACCAAGTAACGGTAGTTTATGCCCACTAATTGTTATCCCCCGATTTCATTCATCTCAATCCCCAAACACCGTGCTAATTGAGCCTTAATTGAGCAAAGCAATGTGCCGAGTTGTCGAATTTTTGGAAATTGACTGGACTCGGCATTAGTATTATTTTTCCCTGTTATAGTGCTTCCTTTTACAGTTCTTCAATTGAAGGCAATATTAAATATTTCTCAATTGTTTTTAAATTGCCATCAATAACGGGGTCCAAGTGAAATTAATTTATTTTGCACAATGAAAGTCAAAGACGCAATTTGCTGCAATAAATTGGCGCGCATGGAATCGCTTCATCGAAATTGGTTGCACGTTTTTTGAAAAACCGCAACTAAAGGAGCAACTTTGGGGGACTTTAATTAGCGCTGTTAATTCAGGCGAGTTAGCAGTATTTGGCTTAAAAATAAATATATATCTTTATGGCCATTGATTAAAACCGTCGGTTGCCATAAAGAAAAGTTGAAAAAGCGTAATAAGAAGTGAATGAAGCAACAGGTCTGAAAATTAACAAAGAAATTTAAATAATTAGCATCTGCGCTACTTCGGAGTTAGTATTTTAATTCGAGCGCTCAAACCCGACACGTTTAACAAATCGTATTATAAAAGTTTAACAATGCCGAGCTTAGGAGTAACCAAAAACCAACATTAATTCGATAACTTTACGTTACAGCTGACTTCAATCAAAAAATAAAACAAATAAGTCTTAATCGATAAATTCAAATTTAATTATAGCGTAACTAATTTTGTTTGGTTGTTAAAAATAAAGTTTTATTTATTTGAATGCCATGTTCCAGATACAATTCAAATGTTTTCCAACAAGACAAACAATAGTAATTTAAATTTTATATATTTACGAGCAGGAATTTCCTCACCATTATTTTGGCTTTGGTCTTTTTAAATATTTATCTTGAGACGAAGAGTATACAATTCGTTTGGCTTTTTATGTTTTTATACTTCAAAACATTACTAATAAAATCCCTGCTTATTGTTAATGTTTTTAAATATAAAAACAAAAATTATAAAATGTATGTGTATTAGTAGAATTGAACGTTTAACGGTAAGGCAACACCACTAGGGGAGTCCCCCAAATATTTTGTTCATTTTTTGGTTTAATTAAACATTCGTCGTCTGGTCACACTGTTAAAGCTCGAAAGTCGAAAGGGCCAAAGTTTGTTTATCATTGTTATTCGGCACTTTGGCCATAAAAATGAGCTCCATCAAGGTAAGTATGCATATTCCAGATCAGCAAACATTCTCCCATGTTAAAGTGTAGATTGAATTTGCAGTGCAGATGCGCAAGGGCGATGAGGCGTACGCCGGAGCACTGCGATCGGCGCTGGATGGCGTGGGCCAGGTGGAAATCGACACCCAGGAGGGCCGAGTGATTGTCCAGACGCAGCGACCTTGGTCCGAGATTCACGACAAGATCGAGGCCACCGGGCGCAAGGCCGTACTCTCCGGTTTCGGCGGCCAGTCGGCGGTGGCGCTCATCAACACCACGGGTAGTGTGGTGGATAGAACGCCCATCCAGGGAGTGGTCCGGTTCACCACCATAACGGCCCAGGAGCCCGGAGTGGTGGTCGATGGCGTGGTGGACGGACTGACGCCCGGCCTCCACGGATTCCACATTCACGAAAGCGGTGACACCTCCGCCGGCTGCTCTTCCGTCGGTGAACACTACAATCCCCGCCAGTCGCCCCACGGAAGCCCCACATCGGCGGCAACAGAGCGACATGCCGGCGATTTGGGCAACATTCGGGCCGATGAGAGTGGCAGGGCCACCTTCAGATTCGTGGATCCAGTGCTGGAGGTGTGGGACATCATCGGCAGGGCTGTTGTCATCACAGACGCTCCCGATGACCTGGGACGTGGTGGCCACGAAAGAAGTCTGGTCGATGGCAATTCCGGCGAAAGGTAAGCACACATGATTATCACCCCTTTTAGCTCATTATTTGACGAATTAAATTGTTTCCCCCATAAGGATTGCGTGTGGCATTATTGCTCGTTCGGCTGGTATCCTGGAGAATTTCAAGAGAATCTGTGCCTGCGATGGTGTCACCCTTTGGGATGAGCGCAATAAGCCACTGGCTGGCAAGGAGCGCTCCCAAAAGCTGTAACTTTGTTTCCTTTGTCGACTTTGTAAATAAATGTATTTTTTGTAACTACTCACAGGTTTTGATCTTGAAATATGTAGTTGACTTTTAAACATAAAAATTGGATATAGGCAAGTGTGTTTTGAAAACGCGATTGTTCCTATTACTAAGTATAATATGAAACATATAAGAACAAAATATAAGAAAATGTTTTCAGAAGTAAATAAGGCAATATGTACGATGTACGATATCTGCGAGACTTTAAATATTAAATATATCAGTGGGAATAAAGTATATATATTCTTGATAAGCATCACTGAGAGAGCAGATCTAACAAACTTTTATGTCAGTTTTAAAGCTGTCTGCATTAAACATTCCCAAAAGTTTCCTGTTTCAAATAGACCAGAACGACTATATCATATAGCTTCAATTTGATACCTTTGCTGTTTCTTAGTACTTCGAGATATGTTAATGTTTTATTATTTTAAAAATAGGGTTTAAATTTGATTAAAATCGGACGACTATATCATAAAGCTTCCATGGGAACAATCGAAATAATAAAAAAAAAAAAAATTAAAAGTTAAGTTATCTGACTTTAAATGTTTTTAAATTCTTTTGGAGATAGTATTTGTTTTATAATTCAAAATTAGCCTTTTAATTTGATACAAAAAGGGGGTTTTAAAATGCTTTGAAAAAAGTCAATAAGGTAAGATCCTGAGAAGAATTTTGCAAACTTTGTAAGTAACTATTCCACAAGCAAACAAATTAATATGTAATCGAAATATTCCTTCAAAATTATTGTTTAGAGCTCAAGAAGTAAATATATGTTTGCGATAAAAGCCCCTTCCATTGTAAGTCAGCGATTCTTGAATGCTTTTAAAGTTTTATTTAAAATATTTCTTTGCCATTGTTGGTTTGTTTTTTTTTGTTTTTTTTTTTTTTTGTTTTTCTTAGTTAAAATTAATTTGCTTTTAAATTATTATTATCTGTTTTGCTCTGCCAATAACTACGGGATTCGTGTGTGTGTGTTCGTGTAGTTTGGTGGTTAACTTGAATTGTTTTTGCGGGGCGTTAAAACCGATGAACATACAGACACGTTTGTTGTACTCGATAATAATAGTAATAATAATAATAATAATAATAATGATTAATATTCGAAATGCCTAATGCATTTGACATTAATAGATATATGTGTATATATTTAATTTGATTCCTCCGTTAACACTACGGCGCATGCCCCAATCCCTGGCCCACATCCTTGGTGGTCAGGAGATGGAAGGCATGCACGATTTCTATGTAAATAAGTGGTAAAAAATATGTAAAGTGTATATGCGTAAGTCCTAATGCTTATTTACTGCGTTTGCCGGGCGTATTTACATATCTGTTGGCCTTTTGTACTCTACGTGCTTTCTTCGCCTCCTCGGGCTCCTCGAGTCCCTCCGCTCCGGCGGCCACATTGTCCGTCGGCGGAGCCACCGCCACATTCTTGGACACTGGACTGACAATCACGCCGCTGCGCTGATGGTTGCCGTAGAACAGTTTGGCCGAATACCCGCCCACTGCTTTGGCAGCTGCTCCTCCTGCTCCTCCTGCTCCACCAGCGGCAACCGCCGGCAGCAACTGCGACTGAGGGGCAATCACCTGAGCCGCCTTCGATGTGGACGCTATGGCATTGGACGACTGCGCCTCCGAGGGCTGCTTGCGTTTCAGATTCTTGGCCGCACTGCTCACGGCCAGCAGCTTTGCCGTGGTGGACTCGTCCGGCGAGGCGAACTCCTTCAGCTCGCCCACGCTCACATCGCTCTCGGCATCCGCATCTGCATCGGCATCTGCATCCGCATCTGCATCCGCGTCGGCATCCTCATTGATGATGATGAAGTGCTCGGGATTAACGCCCTGGTTGACCAGCACTTGAAAATCCTCGGGCGGCACAACGGGCGCCACCTTCTGATTGCACGAACTGCACACGGCCGGAATGGCCGGGCTCTTGGAGCGCCAGAACTGCAGCTCCGTCTTGCACTTGTTGAGCTCCTGTTCCAAAAATGTAGGCAAATAAGTGTGTATGACACAGAGAGTGTTAAAGCTTAACTTACCTGCAAAAGGGTGGAGAACTTGCGACTCATCTCCTCGTTCTTCTTGTCATTCTCGTCCAGCCGATTGGCATACTCGAGCGTCTGCTTCTGCTGCTCGGCCAGGAGATTCGATTGCTCTGCCAGCTGCTTGCTCTGCTCGGCGGCCTTGCGCTTGCAGGTGCGTAGCTCGGTGCGCAGCACCGACAGCTGATTGTTGTACATCTTCATGCCCTGCTTGATCTTGCGTATGCCCTTGCGGAGCACCATGTGGTTCTGCGGCGGCGAGTTGCTGGCACTGTCCTCGAGATCTGAACTGATGGCAAGCGTGGCTAACAGATGGATAGATGGTTAAATGGATAGATGGACACAGATGGCAATTGAGTCAATTAGACCGCTTACGTCGCTTTGTGGTGGTGGGCAGCGTGTAAAAGTCCTTGTTGAAGTACGCCAGACCCGGTAGCGTGGACTCGATGCGGTCCTTGAAGTACTCCATGGCCATGGTGGAGAGATCGAAGAGCTCGTCGGTCACCCGATAAGGTCGCTGCAGCCTGGGCGTAATACTGATATAGTTGAGGATTGCCTGCACCTCGTCCAGTATCTGGGGAATGGGAAATAAGAATAAGATCTTCAATAGCCTTTGCCTTTGAGCTAAAGAGAGTTTTGCATGGACTTACGGCGCCCGGAAAGAAGCAGCAGTGGCCCCGCTCGATGTGCTTGCCCATGGACATCTGGAGCAGGGAGAGTCGCATGTAGCACGTCTCGATGATGTCGCACTCGCAGGCCAGCGGATGGTTGCGGCGGGCGGACTCCCGACGCGGCATGCTGGCCTTGATCGACTGGAAGCGGCTGAACGTGGTCTTGATCTGCTTGGAGAAGGCCGAGTTCAGCATGGCCATGCAAATGTCGTTCATGTGGTGCGACACCTGCGAATAAGCGCATCCGGAAGACGGGTTAGCTAAGGGAGTTTGGGGTTACAACTCAACTTAAAAATGTTTTGGGTTTTTTTTTTTTGGGCTAAGCGGAGATTCAGATTTCGGCTGCTGGGCCCGCATCCAAACCATTCCACGAGCTGGAGGTTCTGCCTGTTATTAAATTATATCAGATTACATTTATGGCCGCTACCTACGACAAATAATCATGCATACACACACAGCGAATTGTGGCAGGGAGACGCGGGTGCAGGCAAAAATGCCAACGAAACCCAAACGCCGAAGTGTAGTTACCCTCGTGGTCTGTTTTTTCACCAAATATGCATTAATATATTTTTTACCTAGGTTTTCTACGGCAGGCTGAGGAGTTTTAACGCTAATTCTGATTTTTTTTGCTCAGCTAATTTGCTCATTCAATGCAGTTAACATCTTGAAGTTAATAATCTTTTTACTAGTACTTCAATATAACCAAATAAATAAGAGCACCTTATGAAACTTGGTTAAAGGTCTACAAATAACTACTAGTAGCTAATTATATTATGTATTATTTTTATTTATTTATTTGCAATTTAATTTCTATATTATTTTGTATAATTTATTTATAATTAAAATATTTACTTGATGGTAATCCCGATTTTTACTGAAGTAAGATTAATTCATATAAATTTTTTTTTTAAGTTTTACTACAATTAAAGGTTTACCAATGTTGTATACATATTCATTCATAAATAAAAACATTTCTTTAAAGATGAATAACAAGTGACACAAATAAGTATTAAATGCCTATTATAAAGTGATGAAATATACAAATACAAAGGCTGTTTATGGCACGCTTGTTTTTTTGCTACAAATAATTTAATTTGTTTGTGAACTACAAACTATTGCAACTTTGAGGCTTTTTGCGCTTCATTTAGCTTTCAACGAAGAGAGTTACTCAACAGAAACAAAGAATCAGTAGAAATGGACCTGCTAAAGGCTCACTTTTTGCCCAGTTTTGCCCCCAACCGAAGACCAGATGCCTCATACGCTGCTAAATATAAACAATTGCAAGTGCATGTGCATGTGCATGTGCCCTCGTGACAAAGTTTTAATTGCCTCCTGCCAAGGGAAATCCGAAATCCGTCGGTTGGAGTGGAGCCCACAACGCATGGCAAAAATAATACACATCACATAGTAGCAGCAGAATATTAAAGCTGGCATACAAGTGCAGGTAGTTTAGTTTGTCGGTTGGATAGTTGGTTGGTTTGATGGTTTGATGGCTGGATAGTTGGATGGTTGGACGGTTGGATAACCCAAACCAAACCAAACCAAACCAAACCAAACCGTACCACGCTTGCAGCACTTGGGAAATTGCTTTTTATTGATTTAATAGGGGCAACCGGCAATGTTTTTGGGTGCAACTGGAGAGGGCATGGTGCGGTGCACTTACCAATCTGAGAATGCAAATTTTCTTAAAGTCCAGATAGCTGAGTATCTTCTCAATCAGCTCGTTGGGCAGATCCATCAAACTGAGCGTTCGCTTGCCAACGGCGGACTCCTGTCGTTGCATTTGCATGGTGTACGAGTGGTGGCGAGTCACCACGCTGGCGGAGAAGGCCAAACTGGCCGGCGAGGCGACCTGACCAGATCCCTGCCCCTGATAACTGTTGGTTCGCCGCATGACCAAAGCTCGCGATGAGCTGGACTCGGGCGGCTCCTGGACCATAGAGCCTGATACCGAACCCGATCCAGATGCTGAAACCAATGGAAAGGCAGGAACCCCATCCGATGCGCTGCTTCCGCCTCCACTGCACATTTGGCGGGTGGACACCATTTCCTCCCAGTGGCGTTTCGGTGCTTAATGGACAGAATAAGTGCGAGGACGCTTCGAGTTTGCTACAAAAGTAAGAGCACACACGGAAAAAAACACCGAAAGATCGTTAATTCACCATCCATCCATATATATATATCGTATACACATATACAGCGTCTCTTCGCTTGCTGCTTTATCCCCCCGCAAAAATTTCCTTTGAAATTGTATGCTACGCACTACGAAAACTCGAATTTCGAGCTGACTTCGTACCCGTTTTATCAAATGGAACTATTGCATTGACATCGTTTTTAGCCGCGCTACACCGTGGACCAATATATCTAGTACTTTCGGTCGCTCTTCCTTAACGCTAGCATCCACTTTAACTCAGTTTTTTCGAGCACAATTAAAACTACATACACAATCCGTGGCAAAAAAAAAGTCGAAGTGGCTAGGGCTGGAAAGGCAACGACTACACCGATATTTCCGCAAACATTCAAATTATCGATATTTTCTTATTGCCGGGCTCCACTACAACAATATTTAAATGTTTCCACTACTTTAAATTACACCATACATTGTTTAAGACCTATCCTTAAAGATTAAAGCATTTGTTTTATAATTAACAAAATGCTTTCCTTAGAAGAGCTAAGCTTTATTTGGATATCAAACAGAAACTATAATTTTTTGTTTTTATTTCAAGAAAATTTTCAGATTTACAGTCAGTTTAAAACTATTGGTTTATAAAATTTATGTATTATCCTTCTAAATAATCAAATTTTCAAATATTACAAATGAAATATTCTATAAAACGACAATAATTAGATTTTATTAGATTTGTTGCGTATTTGTTTGAAAACAAAGAAGCTAAGACAAATAGTGAGCAACAGTAAATCACGGAGTAAATTTGTATACCGACAAAATAAATAAAGCTTTTGGGAAAGTTTCAATTAGATATCTTTAATATCTTTATAACTCGACAACAAGTTGGATGACCCTAACAGAAATTACATGTCTTAATTCTAGAATAACATTTTTGTTTAATAAAACTTTAACAGCTGTGTCGATTTTTTATAATTGGTATTATCGATTAATCGAGTAATTGAAGACCGGAACCCGTGGTTAGAAGCTCCGCTAATTCAAAAGCGATGTATCAATTGATGTAATGTTTTGATGTATGTTCATTAGGCGTTTTTAACAAACGATGGATCTAAAAGAAAAACTTAAGAAAAGCTTAGGGCTGCTTAAAAAATATGAGTGGCTGTTGGATGCCTATGTTTTGGTAAGTGGATACATATTTAAGATTAGGACTAAAAGCGGATTTTTAGGATTTCTATCTGGACGACCATTGGAGTAAACTTCCTGAAAACTGGCAGGTTGACTTGGAAAACATTCCCTTGGAGAATCTGGCAGAGCTGCTCCTACACGAGGATCATGATCTCCAGTCGAAATGGCCAGAGGAGCTAGTGGAACTGCAGCATGAGTTGCAAAAACTCTGCATCAGCCGTGCACCCAAGAACAAAGACGAAGTTGGTAAAATCCTGTCGATGTTTAATACCAGAATCAGATATATATTATATATATGATACTCTACACATAGAACTCCTTTCCCTGCCCACTTCTGGATCACCCCAAGCTAAAGCACATGTTCCTGAAGCGGGTGAAACCAAAAAAGCAGCACGAGATTGCCAGGATGGCGGAGATTTGTGCCCTTAGCCATCGACAGTCACCAGTTGACTTTGTTGTCGACTTTGGAGCGGGCGTGGGCCACCTGGCCCGCATCCTGGGCTACGGATATGGACTGCGAGTGTGCTGCTTCGAAATGCAGCCCGATCTCAACAAGCAAGCGGCGGAAATCGATTTGAAACTGGAGTCCATGGCAGCGAAACACCTGCCACCGGATGAGACCAGCCACTTCCAGCGACCAGTGCATCTCACCCAGCGTTTGGAGAGCGGCACACAGCCCGAGCTGTTCCTCTCCAGCATCCGGGATGCGCTTCAGCTGAAAGACTACCATTTTCGCTTTGGAATCATCGGCCTGCATCCGTGTGGCAATCTGGGACCTACACTGATGCGTATGTTTCTCGGCTGCCCGCAGGCCACATTCCTCAACTTTGTGGGCTGTTGCTACCAGAAGATGACCACACGGGGCACACAGCCCCGGGATCAAGTGCACGGCTACCCGCTGAGCAGGTTCCTCCACGATAAGCCCGAATCCCAGTTGAGCTACGAGGCGCGAGAGATCTCCTGCCACGCCCTGGAGGTGTACCACGATCGCCTGCGGTCTGGGGACTACGAACATCTCCGGATACACTCCCTGAGGGCCGCCACCGAGCGCATCATTGTCCAGCAATTTCCAGAACTACGGCACTGTGCGCTCCGGAATGTGAAGTACTCACCCGGCATGACTTTCCACCAGTAAATAGCCTTAGAGTTCCAACAAAAATCTCTTTGTCATCTCTTTATTATGTCCAGCAGATATTTCCGGAGAGCAGTGCAGGGAACTCGCTTTGAATCTCTTGACAGCCGGACTCTGAGCAACCAGCAGACGGAAACCGACCTGGCCAACTGGCGGCGAATAGTTTCCTTCTACACGCTGCGACTAATGATGGCTCCGCTGGTGGAGAGCATCATTCTCTACGATCGCTGCCTGTTTCTCACTGAAAATGGTATTAATCCGCCTTCAAATAGGTGCCAAATCACGTATTAATGACGTCTTGTTTGCAGGCTGTGAAGTCCATATAGAGGCCATCTTCGATCCGCGTCTCTCGCCCAGAAACCACATCACTAGGGCAGTGAAATCCCAGCACTGATAGGATAGAATTACCCTAATCTGGCCACAAATCCCACAAAAGTGACATGCCCCGTGTGATTCTTATCGTTAAGTGCTTTGTGGTTGCTTTTATATGAGTTTATTTTTATACAGATAGAGATAATATCCGTGTAGTTGATACAAAATGCACTTAAAGTTTGTCTAGATCGTTGAACGTTGAGAAAAAATGCTTGCTCCGGTGAGACCAGAGGTCCCTTCACTTGTAGTAACCCTTGTCGGCCGCCGCCTCCACAATGGTGCGAATGGCGGTGAAGGCTTCGCTGGCCGTGGGCTGGATCTCCACGGCGGGCAGGATGAACAGGTCCTCGCTATCCGGCGGACCACGCAGCTCGAAGGTGTAGGCAATCGGTATGCCCGCCTCGGAATGCGCCCAATCCATGCTGCCGCCGCTGGACGGATAGATGGTCTCGTACAGACTGCCACTCACATAATCCCTTCCGCTCTCCGCCTTGATGGCCTCCGATGCCCGCTTGCCGAACTCCTGCAGGTCGTCGTAGTTGGACACCCGATCCTTGGTGTACCCGTACGGGAACATCAGCATCTGGGAGTAGGAGTGCAGGGCAATGTACGTCTTGATCTGCTCCTTTGCCACATTTGAGCGGATGAACTGGATGAGGCGCTGGGTCTCCAGTTCGCTGCCAGCAGAGGGTCCGGCAAAATCGTAGCGGGTGGGATCGCTGCTCGATCCCGTGGTGTTCCAGTGGTCCGGATAGTTCCTGTTCAGATCCACGCCACGGCAGGTGCCGAACAACTGGCGATTCTTGCGCCACATCCGGTCGTGTTCGAAGGTGTACTTGTAGCCATCGGGATTCACACAGGGAAAGACGATCCAGTTGTAATCCTGGGCCAGTCTCTGCACCCTGGGATCCTGCGAGGTGAGCAGCTGGTTAATGATGTACGTGGCCGCTGCCGGTGCAATCCACTCCCTGGCATGGATGCCACTCTCTATGAAGATGGCCTTGTTATCGGGACTGCTGCTCAACTTGATGCCCTTGATGGCGTTGCCCTGGGTGCTGGTGCCCATGTCCAGGACGCGGACGCGCTCCGGATACTTCTCGGCCATCTTATCCAGCCACTCGTAGATGGTCTTCAGGTGGAAGAAGTGCTGCCAGTCGAACTGCGAGGCATCTATACCCTCCGGCTGAACTTCGCCCATGTTGCGGTCGATCTTCTCCTGGAAATTGTACGTCTACAAGGCGGTATTCTCTGTTAGATCGATCGATTTATCTGAGATGTACATATGAATAGCGGACTCACCAGCACCCGATGCTTCACCTTGTAGGTCTGGAGCAGATCGGCGATGTCGGCCACGCGATGAGCGGCCACCAGAATGGACAGCTTCTGGCCAATCTCGCGGGCATGGCCGATGAAGGTGAGACTGTCGCTCTGCTCCTCCAGTTTCTGGAACAGGGCGATCTGCTCCTCGTTCTCAAACTCCACATTGTAGATGCGGTAGTTGTCGTAGCGTGCCTGGTCCGCCGGAGGAGCCCCAGTTCCAGCTCCCCTGGCCACGGGGCAAGTGCCACTTTCCAGTTTAGAACCAGTACCGCTCGCTGCCATCGCTACAATCTGAATGACTAAATATTGCGCCCCGATCCGCAGTTTTAGCATATTTATTATTACTTTTCTTTCTATTTTTCGACTTTGTTTGCCAGAGAGCGAGCGAGCGAAAGAGAGGCGAAGAGAGCCGAAGAGAGGTATGTAGCTATCGCTATCAGCGGAATTGGAAAGGCGCGGAGGGAGAGGGAGAGGGCGGGGGCGGTTGGAAAACCAGAAGTTTCGCTTTCATCACATCACAGCTGTTTTGCGGACTAATCCAGTAATCCAGGGCGGCGACTGGTCACTTGGGTTTCCAATCCAGCAGGCAAGTTGCACCGACACAAACGCATGTCCTACGACCGTCATAAAACGATTCCGGTTAACGGATCTATTTCGCTATTTTACAAGGTAACTCTAGTCAGGTAGATTACACATATTAAGACTGGTTTTCTTGGAATTCATTATATTGAAATTTTTGGAAAATATATTAAATACCTAATGAATTTTTCTATTTTACTTCTAACTCAGAAATAGTTTAGGTACATTCATTTTATAAATTATAAGAGATTTATAAACAAAGCATCTTCAAGTTTAATTTTTAATAATAGTTAGTTATATAAAAGTATACATATTATTCTGACTTATATTGAGTTGATTAATTTTAAATTATTTCATATTCAAATAAACGTGAACCTTAAATATATACATATAATATATTTAAACATTTACCAAAATATTTGAATTTTTTAGAAAATTTACTTGTAATTTTTTAATTTTAAATATAACTGTCATAAATGACCTCCAGTCGATGAATATGGTTAAAAATTAGCAGAGCAACTTGTTATTAAAGATTCCCACAGAACAATTAACTAAATCAACCAAAACCTAGGCCACGCGAAAAATTAAATTAAAAAACTGTCAATTTAATGTAATATAATTTTGAAGTACATTGCAATTCAAAACTCATCATTCTTAAAATTCATACAGAACCAATAATGCTGATTTTAGAATTTGTTCAAGGAACTGCGGCTTCCAATGCCACCAAAAATAAGAGTAGCTTTTGTATGAATAAGTAGTCTTTTGGCAATGAAATCATAATGATAGTGAAATCTCAAGCAAAAATAAAAAATATAACGATTTTTTTTTTTTTTAATTTTCAAATTTATTTTATACACTTTCATCTTAAGGAAACATTATAAATTCGTCAAGTTTTTAAATCTAAGTTTATTATTAAGAAATGCATTATATAATTCTTTGATTTATTGTGTGTTAAATTAATATTGAATAAAAAGAAAAAGGTTAAAAATCGATCGGATCGATGGTGTTTTGAAAATCGAAGTCGTTCGAAATGTCGTAAGCCTTAAGACTAAGCAAACTACTTCTTCTTGCCCCTGCCCAAGGTAAGTGTGTGCGTACCGTTGGCCAGTTGGAGCTTGCGCTTCTGCAGCTCTTGGCACTCCTCCTCCAGCTGACGACGCGCCTCCTCCAGTTGGGCCTTTTCATCCAGATGCTCCCGCTTCAACCGCTCGAACTTGATGTGCAGATCCCTCTCGCTGTCCTTCAGCTCGTTCTCCTTCTGCTTGACCCGCTGGACGAACATTTGACGCACTTCCTCTTCTTTGGCCTGGAGGCAGGCCAGGTGGTCGGAGCGCTTGGACTCGAAGGTCTGCTGAAAGGACACCGGCTGGTTGTTGCTGTCCACGTCCACGAAGCCCATTTGCTGCAATCGCCGCTGGCGGAAGAGCTCATAGTGGCGAGAGTGGGTCAACTCGCGCAGATCCTCCATGTTCGTGCGGATGACCATCTCGCGCAGCTTCACAAAGTCGCAGTGCGCCTCGTTCTCGATGTGCACCGCTCCCCAGGGATACTGGCGGGCACGCACCAGCTTTCCGGCCACCTTCACGAACTCCGTGCTGCCCACAACGGCAAAGGGCAGATGGCCATTCATGGAGACGTTGGTATCGGCCACCGTTTCGTCGTCCGTGGGGAACTGGTAGATGCTCACTTTGTTCCGGCGCAGTTCGTTCATTATCCGCTCCTTGAACCCAGCCAGCTCCGACTTGGAGATGGTGTCCGCCTTGGCGATGACGGGTATGATGTTCACACGCGTGTCCAGCTGCTTCATGCACTCCAGATCCATGGCTTTCAGTCCGTGGCCAGTGGGACAGATGAAGTAGAGACAGGCGTGGACGCGACCATCGTGGGCACTGGCCATCGTGCGTTGGATCTTGAGCTCCTCCTGCAGATACGCCTCGAACTGGCTGTCCACGTACTCCACCAGGGCCTTGTAGCTGTCCGCCTTATTCACCTGATCCCCGTATCCAATGGTGTCGCAAATGGTTAGCTTCAGCCGGACATTGCTCTCCTGTAGCTCGTAGGTGTTCGCCCGCAGCTTCACATTGGGCAGGCAGTGCGGACTGGGCGTGGCCCCAAAGCTGGTGTTGAAGAGCGTGTCCATGAGCGTCGATTTCCCGAGGGCCGTCTCCCCGATGCACAGGATGTTGAAGCTGAAGCCATTCTGCACGCTCTTGTTGACCAGTTGATCGGGCAGCGTGTCGAATCCCACGTGGCCATCCAGTTTGAGCTGTCTGGGCGCTTTTGGCGCAACCACCTCCTGGGTCTTCTTCTCAGTCGCTAAATGCACCATTTCGCTTTTGGTTCTGGCGGAACAATGGTTCCGGTCGGCGATGGCGCTGCCCTTTATACTCTGGGCACGGGTAGGAGCGGAAAGGTTCCCAATCACCCATTTGGGTTTTCCGGCATATGAGGATTTATATATAATCTTCTTCTATTCGGCCGTATTCTACCTGTGATCTATTTTACCTGCAGCCTTAACAAATTTGAATGATTTGCCGCGAGGCAGTGCTGCTCGATTAAAATATGAATTTCGATAGAAAATAGCTCTAGTTTAGCTATAAATAAAACATGTACTCGGGGGTGCTCCTCAAATGTTTATTCCAAACGAATACTATTTGAATTAAAGAGCAAAAGCTAACAAACATAATACATGTATTGTGAATTGGCATTACATTATCTCAGACTTACACTTTTTAAAAATAATATTCTGATAGTTTTAAATGTTATGGCTTGAAAGTAGCCAGAAATTCATCGATAACATCGCCACTTCCAGGAATGGCGAGTACGTCGGCTGGTTATCGATAGCCGCACTTCCACTCTTGACGCATACAGAATTTGCAAAGCCGCAGAAAATTACAAATCCCAGGATTATCCGCGATTTATTAGCAAAAGTGCACTGCAGTCAACTTTAGAAAAGAGCTAGCGAGGTAAGATCAACAAAATATATAAAATTTTCTTAGTTTTAGGGGAATTCCCATTGCAAAGAGCGATTTTCTTTGTCGTTGGAGCGCCGCCATTTTCTTTTCACTTGGCCGCCGCTTGTCCGCTTGCTTTTCACAACGTACTTTCACAAGGCCAATCTCGGATACTTTGCAGAACTCCCAGTCCCAGTTGCCAGAAGGTTCCCAGGCAGCACCAGCACCCGAGGAAAAGCGCACCGGAAGAGCCGCCCATGAGTAGTCATAGAGACGGAGCCGGAGCCGATCGAATCACAATCAAAATCCACAACATGAAGCGCAGCGCCTCGCGCTCCCCGGGTCCGGCCTCCAGGAGCAGCCTGTCGCGCAACTCGCGGAGCATGGGACGTGGCTACGACAACGGCAGCGGTGTGCCGGGCGACTCTCCGGAGCGACTGTCGCCAGAGCGCATGCGACGCCGTCTGGAGCGCTCGCCCAGTCCACGTGGCCGCTACGGATCTCCGCACCGGGAGCCGTACATGCGTGGTCCTCCGCCCGCGGAGCGTCCGGCTGGCTACAAGGTTTTGTGCGTCAGCGCTTTGCCGCCAAAGGCGCCGGACGATTTCATCGAGGAGACGCTGTACCGCGAGTACAAGAAGTTTGGCGACTTCAGTGTGCGGCTGGCCCACGACCTGGACGAGCGGGTAGCCTACGTCTGCTTCCGAACGCCAGAGGATGCGCGTGAGGCCAAGCACCACAAACCGCGCCTCATCATCTATGACAAGATGGCTATTGTTGAGCCGGTGTACAAGAGCAGCACCAGGCCAGAGTATAGGTGGGATTTTGTATACAAATTTCGATAGTTTCCCTTGCCTTACACTCTATTTCCACTTTGCAGACCTCGCGGGCACTCGATGTCCCCGCCGGACTACGAGCGCTACCACTACTCGCGCTCACCAATGGGCCAAGGGGTTCCGCTGGATCACCGCCGTCCACCGCTTGATCCCTATGACCGCTACGGTCCGCCCCACATGCACCCGCACGCAGTGCATCCACGCGATTACCGGCCCATGCACCACGACTATCCCCATCCGCCACGCGGACCTCCTCTGCATCGCGGCGGCCATCCGCATCACATCCATGGTCATGCGCCTCCACATCAGTACTCACCAATGAGGCCGTTGGCACCACGACCGCACGCCCCCTACGAGAAGCCGGAGAGCAAGAAGGACAAGTTTCCCAACTACCTGCACCACGTGCAGCCCGAGGATGATCCCCTCTCCACGCGCACCCTGTTCGCGGGAAATCTGGAGGTGACCATCGCCGACGACGAGCTGCGTCGCATCTTCGGCAAGTATGGTGTGGTGGATGATATCGACATCAAGCGCCCGCCGCCGGGCACGGGCAACGCGTTCGCGTTTGTGCGCTACCAGAACCTGGACATGGCACACCGGGCCAAGATCGAGCTGTCCGGCCAGTACATCGGCAAGTTCCAGTGCAAGATTGGTTACGGCAAGGTGACTCCGGCCACACGCATGTGGATCGGAGGTCTGGGTGCCTGGACCTCGGTCACTCAGTTAGAGCGAGAGTTTGATCGCTTCGGGGCCATCAAGAAGATCGAGTACCAGAAGGGCGAGCCGTACGCCTACATTCAATACGAAACGGTGGAGGCGGCCACGGCGGCGGTAAAGGAGATGCGAGGATTCCCGCTGGGTGGACCTGAGCGTCGTCTTCGCACGGACTTTGCAGAGTTGCCGGGCGCCACACCGGCGGCTCCATTTAAGGGCTCCAAGCCGCCGTATGACGAAAGTGCACTGGAGTACAGGCGTCCAGAGTATGACCCGTACTATGAGGAGTCCGCGGCGTACGCACCGAGAGGTGGCTACTCGCCGTATCCTCCTAGAGGTGGCTACCGTGGAAGAGGTGGCTATCGCGGAAGGGGACGAGGCATGTACCACTACCACAACGATGTTCACAGGCCGCCGCATCCCGGCTCCTTGGCCGGTTCATCTTCGTCGGTGCCGCCGCCCGGCGGAGTGGACGACGAGTGGCGACGCCCACCGGGAGAGTCATACGACAGGGGAGCCCGCTCCAGCTCTCGGGAGCCTGGCGTGGAACGCTCGCGCTCGAGGTCGCCCTTAAAGCGGGCTCGCTCTCCCGGATCGGATTCTGATACCTCGACTCGTCGCAACGATGCCCTTGGATCGGCCAGTACGGTGCCGGATGTGGCGCGCAAATGCAGCACCGTTTGGACCGGAGCACTGATCCTCAAGAGCTCCCTGTTCCCAGCGAAGTTCCATCTGACTGATGGAGATACCGACATTGTAGAGTCGTTGATGCGCGACGAGGAGGGCAAGCACAATCTACGCATCACCCAACGACTGCGATTGGATCCGCCGAAGTTGGACGATGTGCAGAAGCGGATTGCATCCTCATCCTCGCATGCTATCTTTATGGGCCTGGCTGGCTCCACGAATGACACCAATTGCGACGATGCCAGCGTGCAGACGCGACCTTTGAGGAACCTGGTCTCCTATCTGAAGCAGAAGGAGGCGGCTGGCGTCATCTCGCTGCTGAACAAGGAGACCGAGGCCACCGGCGTGCTGTACGCCTTTCCACCCTGCGACTTCTCCACGGAGCTGCTGAAGCGCACCTGTCACAGCCTCACGGAAGAGGGTCTGAAGGAGGATCACCTGGTCATTGTGGTGGTGCGCGGCGGCACGGCCTAAGGTGGATTGAAATCGGATGCCGGGGGGGCGGGAGAGGCAAGTGCTGGACAAACTGGAGGTAATGACTAGCCACAGTGCTCAAGGGAAGGGAAGACTCCGCCACACCTAACTATAATGTAGCAGCCGTAGTCGTATCTTAGATGCCCCTCTCTTAAACGGAGGAGGACGAACTGGGGGTCACATACATGCAAGGGTCGTGTATGTGCACCCTCCAAGCACCGCACGCACACACACACACACACACACACACACACGCAGAGACACGAGCAGAACCGAGGAGACATCATCCACACCTCATGACCCCTGACCCCTGACCCCTGATCCCTGACCCGTATTAATTACCCATTAATTAACGTTCTTTTGCAGACAGGATCTCTCTGTTTATGGTTTCATTTCAAGTTCTCGATGTGTTAGTGACAGTGAAGTTATTACATATTTTTATTATTGTGCTAAAAAGTTTGAGACAAATCAAACAATATTGTCTCCAAACGCATCCATACAGTTTTTCCAATTTTATTATGTTAAAGTGTACAACTGAGTATGAAAACAACACGAGTAAAATACCTTAAATTTTCTAAAAAAAAAAAAAAAAACAAATTTGAGTGTCCGCTTAAGATCAACAACTAGTGCGAAATAATCTTGATGAAACAGTTTTTGTGTTCTTTTAAATTGATTTCTTTCATTTGATTTGTGTTTACGCTGATGATTTTTGCTTTGGTCTTTGGTTTGTGAACTATGTTGATGATGAAAATACAGTGCGACAAAAAGTGCACCCACAGTAGTGGTCTGATTGTCCAGATGAGATGAGTCCAAAACGAATGTTACCAAAGTGTTTCCAGAGTTTGTATTGCAGTGCGATTCCGCCGTAAAAAGAGCAATCAGTGCGAAGTGCTTAACTCTGGCTGAGCTTCAGTTGCCCCCCGATCTCCCAGAGGTTCGTTCATTGGTGTTTTTGTTTTGGCCTGTGGGTGCGTGAAAGTGGCTACCAAATCCGAATCTGTTTATCCGTCTTCCATCCGAAGAGAGAACGTCGTGTAGCATTTGCTCCAAAATGTCTCTGCTGTTTGATTGGGTTTGGCAATTGTTACATTGGTTTTCTTGTGGCTGCTCTCAACAGAATGGTGTTTTGTTTATAATTTATACATATGCGTTCATGCGACATTTATGTTTCTGTGAGTTCAAGTGTCATTCCACGGGCCTCAAATCAATTAAGATATGATGAAAATCCAATTAGTTGGCCCAGTGCATGTGCTGTGTATGCGTGTGTTCTCAAAATATATTATCTATATAAATATATATACATATATATCGTACTGATATATATACCAATCGTTAATCTTTAACACTAAGAGATAGTAGTCACGATCAAACGCAGTTAATTCACATCATTAGACAGATGTACGAGTAATTTATGCTTCAAAAAATATTATATATAAAACTATTATACTGCTCTTTAAATAAACGTCAACTATCGAATCCAAATGTGTTCAAAAATGTGAGTTACAGTGTGCAACCAAGTGCCGAAAAAAGTGAATCAATCAGAAGAACCAACGGAGGAAGGTAAAGATTATGCAACAATAACTTTAATTTTAATAACAACTCGAGGGAGAGCCCAGTAGTGCCACGAATACTGGGCTTCAATCGTAGTACAGGTAAAAGGTGGTGCAGACCGCAAAGTACGAGGGTCTCTCCACGCTGTAGGTCACGAATCCGTCTTTTTCAGCATCCCACAGGAAGTTCACCATCGAGTAGAGACCCTGCATCAGGAACTCACCCACCGTGACCAGCACAATGTAGCGATATCTTGGGAAAGGTGGGGATTAGTGGTTAGTTGGGTATCAGGATTATGTGCAACCAAGTCAAGTCACCTGTCGTAGTTGTCCAGTTTGATCCTATTCTTGATCTCCTCGCTGACCTGGGCAGCCATGTGCAGCGAATGCTTGGGATGGAACATGTACTCATCGTTATAGTGCCGATTCATCACCGCCTTGATGATGTTCTCCACGCGCTCCTTGTTCAGGGGATTCTTTGACTCCAGACGATAGGTGGGCATGAACCGCATGGTGGGCTACAAATCGTGCGGATCTTAAGATACAAAGGAGGTTTGGAAGTTAATGCTACTTGGCTCACCTTGGCTGCCGGAGCACCCATGCCCAGGGGAACGCTCAAATGTGACTTGGTCAGCGATCCGCGCTGGCTGCCCGCTGGCCTCTGCATGGTGATGAAATGGGAAACCAAATATGCATGTTAGTTCAACCGCAGATATATATCAAACCCTCAAAACCCCCGATTAGAATCCCCACAAGACTATTTGCGTGACTTGGCCAATTTTCAGACGAACCACATACATTCCATTCTCGTGTTCACATTCCGTTACAAGCATCAATATCAATTCATTAAAAAGATATCAAATACCTATTGCCACCATAATGGCAAAATCAATCGTGTACCTTTGCGCGCTCCTGCCCAAGGTAGAGATTCACCAGACCCGACCAGTTCTTAGCTGCAGCGGCTGCCATTTTATTTGTTGTACTAATGGAATCGAGTAGTCGGGTCGAGTGCGTCGCGGTTAGCCATAAAACCACAAATGATTATGCCATTAAGTTATTCCCTGCCAGATTACTTTGACGGCCTGTCGCCGTGGCAATTCGTGGCAGTTCGTTTGTGGCGTTTGTTTGTTGAATCAATACGGGGCCCCAAATTATGCGCCACTTGTCAGCCAAACTAGCAAACTAACTTACCGGCTTTTGACTGCCCTCGGCCGACTTTTCCTTCTTCTCCTTTTTGCCCTTTCCAGTTTCCGCCTCCTTGGCAGGCGCCTCGGGCGCCACTTCCTTGCTTCGTCGCTCCTCCGGCGAGTCGCCCATAATCACAGTGTTTTAACTACAAGTTTTTCGTCAGTTCCCAGTCTCAAACACAAAACTATAACCTTAAGGAACTCAGGAAAATAAGTGACAGGGAGTCCAGCCCCCTTAGATCGACAGTAAAACAAAGGCGGGCTTACAACGACAATGGGTTTACACTTTATTTGGTTTGCAATATGTGTGTGGGGAATATGTTTCGCATTTTGTGTTATCATTTTGGTTCGGTCTCCGGTTTAAAGTATATCAAACACAGTTAGTAGACGATAATATACACACACAGCAATTTACGTTACGATATTTACGTTTAGTTCTGGGTGCTCTTGTGGCCACAAAACATCAATTACATATATATATATACACACATATTCAAATATAAATATACTCGACACATAATTCGAATTTGGATTTCCATTAAATACACACCTAATAAATTGTCTATAAAAAAGAAAACAATAACAGTGCGAATTCATTCTTGGCCACATTTCCTTGTCTTTGTCTGTTGCTACAACTATTTTGAGTCCAGGACTCCGAGTATGTATAGATGTAGACTATAAACGAATAGTTTGAGTGTTTTTAAAACATTCGTGGCTCTTCGAAATATATATAAAAAAAAAAAAACAAAAACTGAAAGTCAGTTACAAAACCTGCAGTACAACTACTAAAAATTGGCGATAAAAACACGCTGGTGGAGATAGCACAACACCGAGGAACAATTTCTTAGACATCTAACATCCACGTACTATATGGGCCAGTGGGCCTTATAAAAGAATAGCTTCACGCGTCTCGTGCAAATTTTGGTGCAGACTTATGTTTGTAAATATTGGAAAGTACTAAATTTCTCTGTATCTCGTTTCATTCTTGTTCTACATTTTTTTTTGTTTCCATTTTCATGTTCATTTTAGATATTCGTACCAAAGTTAGTTTCAGTCGTGTAGTGGACACATAGGTAAAGCTTTAGTTGCGATCCGGGAGTCTGCTCGCAAATGTGTGACTTGTAACTTGTTCCATTTTCTATATATGTAAGTGTAGACACATTCCGTATGCAATGTATAGTGGACACGTATAAGATGCAATAATTATAATCAGTGGGTTTCGTTAGTACATATATGTAGGTAGTAATTGCTGGATTGTTTTGGGTTATATGCTAATGCTCAGCGGTGTCTTCGATCTGCTGTTTCTTGTTTTTTCAATATGCCTCTAAAAATGTAGCTTTTGGAATTCGATTAGTTTCGTGTTACTTTTTTTTCTTTTGATGGCACCGTTATTTCATAACGCCACATTTGGTCCAAAAATTGTTATGTTTATAAATCTCTGCATCTCCCAGTAGCGCAGCTAGTCGTTGGAGCGCACCTTACGCAGCGATCCGCGATTGAATTTGCAGATGGACTCCAGCAGAGCGGAGCGGGTCAGCTCGTCACCCTCGCCCTCGCCGCCTTCCGTATCCTCGGCCAGCATGTTCGGTGTAGACGACTGCCGTTCCACCGGTGCGCCGGGTGACGCCGGCAATTCCTGCTGATAAATGCCGCCCAAGTGCGGCGCCGGAGTAAGCGGTGGGGCTAAAAAGGAAAGCGGAATGGCATGTGAGTCGAGGTGAGTTGAGGGGAAGAAGCTATAAAAAACTACTGATTGGAAGCTGTGATTGGTTGTTCAGATAACTACATTTGATGCCGGCCATGGTGGGCTCCTCGGGAGTGCTGTCGGAGCGGTTGAAGGAGTCGGCCCCACATAAACCGCCGCCAACCACTGCGGTGCTGGAGGAAGCTGCCGCTGCAGTCGCAGCCACAAGCGACAAGCGTCCATTGTTCGTTTGGATTGAACCTTGCTGCTTTAGCTTCGACTGTTTGTGCTCTAGTTTCTAGACGTAAGCATCGGTTTAAATAAAAGGAAAAGAGAAACCAAAGAGTGTTCGTTAAAGGGCTGTGTGAGATTATGAACTACGTGAAGCGGTTGAGGGTTTGGGTGTTTGGGCTTTTGGGTTTTTGGAAAACTAACTGCTTTCTGCTTGGACTTGCGTTTCTCCTCCTCGGAACTCATCAGCTCCTGGACGCGCACAATGCGCTTTTGGTTCTTCACCGACTTCTGTTCGTCTCGCAGGCGATTCTCGCTCTTGATGGCAGCCTGCTTAAGCAGCTCCTTGGCGTTCAGGGATAGCTTAAAGTACGGCTTCTCTGCACTGCCAGCGGCGCCAGTGCCCTCACTTGAAGCGTATTGTGTGAAGAATCTATGACCCAGCAGCTGCTCCAGCGTCGGTAGGCCAGCCTTGCATGCTTCCTTGGACAGAATGCTCTCCAGCAGGGATTCTGCAAAGGTAAATGGATTAGAGCCGAGCACAAAGCTTGATTATTTCGAAGCACCCACTTAACGCCTCGGGACATTCGGTGATCTGGCGCACAACCGATTCCTGCAGCGGATAACCCATGGCCATTTCAAACAGAACGTGGCCAAAACAGTAAACATCAATGGTCTCGATGGCATGGATCTTGCTGTGCTGCATAAAAAATGGCCGGTAGAAAGCGGGTACGCCCAGCAAAAAGTTTTCGATGTCCAGTAGCTTAACACAATCGTCCACTATCACTATGTTTCCGGAATGTAGGTGACCTGTTGTTAAGTTGTCAAGAAATTAATGAAGTGTCTTTAGATAAAAAAAGCTGTATCTTACCATATGCGTAGCCCTTGGAATGCAAAAATATGAGGGCCTCGAGGATTTGCTTGCCGTAGGTGGCCACCTGTTTCATCGAGAGGGCAGTTCGTCCCTTCGGATTGCCGTACTTGCTGAGGAAGGGATTCTTTGGATTTCCGGCCATGCATAAAACATCCTTCAGGGTACCGTGCTTATGGAATCTATAGATCACAAACTTAGTTACAATCTTTGATATATAACTTTGAGTACTGACTTCCTGATGACGAGGCAGCCGTTTTCGGTGTGGGCAGCCAGGAGCACCGGCTCGATGTGCGGATGCTGCAGCCCCATCAAGCTCTTCATTATGCCACCGATTTCCTTCTCGTCGACAAACTTGTCCGGCCCGTATTCGAGCCACTCGGCCACCACCTCGGCTCCGGGCTCCAAGGTACCCGCATCGATGGAGTGACCGCTGCCGTTGCTGCTTCCGGCGGCAAAATGCTTGCTCTGATGCGTTTGCGAGCCGCTCTTCACCAACTGCTTGTTGTGGCTCTTCTCCGGCGGCTTGGTGGTCACCTTGAAGTAGTGCTTCCGAAGGCGCCAACCTATGGCGCCCATACTTCCGCCCAGCGACCATGTCGTGTCGTTTCGCAGGCATAGCATGGCATTCTGCACGGCATGATCTGTAGAGAATGAAAAGTAATGTAATGTATATAAGCGTCACGAAGTGAACCCACCGTGAAAGGATTGCGAGTAACTCTCGGGATCGACGAAGCGCTTGGCTGGCAACGAGGAGGCCAGTATGGGATTCATTAGTACGGCGTTTATGTACACTTGCAGGGCTTGCTTCCGTTCAGCTACGAACTCCGGACGCATGTTACCAAAGATGCGCTTGCGAGGCAGCGGCAGCTCGATGCCGGAGACGCGTAGAGACTTGTCCAGCCGGTCGAAGTCATTGTAGCGGCGCAGTACGGTCCAGTAGTCCTTGTTGCTGCAGCCCCTCCACACGCGCAGCAAGTACTCCTGCAAGCAGACACGCACAGACACATATGTACACACACTCGCACACACTCGCCGATTGCATGAAATCATCAACAATTATTGATTTTTCACTGGGGTCATCAGCTCCCCTTCCCCTCCACCTCCCCACCCCATCCTTGGAGTTACACTACCTACCGTATGTCCGGCAACCTCCTGGACAGCGGTTATCTCGCAGCTCAGCGAATGGGTGTCGTCAATTGGCAATTTCCGTTCATATCTGCTCGCAAATACGGCCATTGGACTCCTTTGGATACATTTTCCACTTCACTCAGCGAGCTGCGCTGCACCCGATTATTGTGTGTATGTGTGTGGGCTTTGTCCCGTCACCACCCTTTTGGACGCAGATTGGCGTAGGTGTTCCCACACACGAGGCGTTCTCGAGTTCTTCAATTAAACCAGTATTATCTGCCACTTGCGAATTGTGTGTTTCGATTTGTGTTTTAGTTTTTCAGGCCAATTGCACCTGAATATACTTTTTTCACTGTTTACATATAATCGTTAAGAGCCAAGTGTTGCACAGTTCTGCTAGTGGGGTACTTTTGCATTTGGCGTTTGCCAGCACTGAATCAGAGATGTCCCGAAAATATGCTTTGAAAACTGTATTTCTGGTAGCTAAATAAATATGGAAAGCCAGTTTACAGCAGGAATTGCAATCAAGTGGTGTTAAATCGAACTAAAAATGGTGAATGTTGTGCAACTTTAATTTTTAAGTATCGCATGTTAGAACTATGTTAAATTGTTTAGAATTCTTGTTTTTTCAATTCAAAAATTTTTTGAAACTTTTCACAAATATTTGCTAAAAGAGAGTTCGAGCATAATCTATTAAGAAACATAAATACGAATCATGTAGAGGAACATAATGCAAAACTTAGAAGTGTTTACTGAAATGTACATAGAATTTATAATGGACACATCAGCAGCTCAGTTACCATAAGTTCAGACATAGCTTGAAATGAGCTAAGCGCTCAGCACTTCCGCGGCCGGATTCGCGAGCTATCGATAACCGGGGATGAGCTTGCGTTGTTGTTCTTAGCTAGTGCGAAGTAATTGGGAAATACAAGTGAACATGGCCGCAAACTACGCAAATCCGGGCAAGGGCATCTCGACGGCGGTCCTGCGCAACCAGCTGATGGGCCTGATCAACTTCACCGGCACGCACAAGGACCAGGCGGACAAGTATCGCCAGCTGCTAAAGACGGTGCTGGCGAACACCGGCCAGGAGCTGATCGATGGTCTCCGGCTCTTTGTGGAGGCGATTGTGAACGAGCACGTCAGCCTGGTCATCTCGCGCCAGATCCTCAACGACGTGGGCGGCGAGCTGAGCAAACTGCCCGACGACCTCTCCAAGCAGCTCTCCCACTTCACCCTGGAGAAGGTTAATCCGCGCGTCATCTCGTTCGAGGAGCAGGTGGCCGGCATCCGGTTCCACCTGGCCAACATCTACGAGCGCAACCAGCAGTGGCGCGATGCGGCCACGGTGCTGGTGGGCATTCCGCTGGAGACGGGCCAGAAGCAGTACTCCGTGGAGTGCAAGCTGGGCACCTATCTAAAGATCGCCCGGCTCTACCTGGAGGACAACGATTCCGTGCAGGCCGAGCTGTTCATCAACCGTGCCTCACTGCTGCAGGCCGAAACCAACTCAGAGGAGCTGCAGGTGAATTCCATCTTGTGGTTAAACCCTTGCCGACTATATCCTTCGAAAATCATCAAATTTAGGTGCTCTACAAAGTCTGCTATGCCCGTGTGCTGGACTACCGGCGCAAGTTCATCGAGGCCGCCCAGCGATACAACGAGCTCTCCTACCGCAAGATCGTTGACCAGGGCGAGCGGATGACGGCGCTGAAGAAGGCGCTCATCTGCACAGTACTCGCCTCTGCCGGACAGCAGCGCTCCCGCATGCTGGCCACTTTGTTCAAGGACGAACGCTGCCAGCATCTGCCGGCCTACGGGATTCTGGAGAAGATGTACTTGGAACGCATCATCCGACGCTCCGAGCTGCAAGAGTTCGAGGCTCTGCTGCAGGACCATCAAAAGGCTGCCACGCCCGACGGCTCCTCGATCCTGGATCGGGCCGTCTTCGAGCACAATCTGCTGTCGGCTAGCAAGCTGTACAACAACATCACCTTCGAGGAACTGGGCGCTCTGCTGGACATACCAGCGGTGAAGGCGGAGAAGATCGCCTCCCAGATGATCACCGAGGGCCGCATGAACGGACACATCGACCAGATCTCGGGCATAGTGCACTTCGAGAACCGCGAGCTACTGCCGCAGTGGGATAGACAGATCCAGTCGCTGTGCTATCAAGTGAATTCCATAATAGAGAAGATAAGTGTGGCCGAGCCAGATTGGCTAGATAACCTGAACTGAACCCGGCTCTCACCAGATCCTCACTCACCTTCATATTCATGAGAGACGTCGGCCAATAAGAGCGCAGCAAATCGGATATTAACCGCGCCTGCGATAGATTTCATTTTTAATTTATAAAAATAAATGAAATTATGTACATTATCGATCCTGTGGAACCAAAAACAAAAGAAAAGAAAACGAAAAAAAAACACAATTTACCATCCAGCGATTTTTAAAAAATGTATTGTACCATATGTATATATATATATATATATATATCTATATATATATGTATTTTCAGTAACTCGTATAATTCAAAAAGCTCTGTGTACAAAGGACTTTAGTTCTTACACAACTAATGGAATGATTTGTATTCAAGGGTTATACATAATCCAATATGTACACGATACAACTAGTTTATCGGGGGGCCACTGAGGCAACAACCTACCCATGCCTACAACTCCAATACATAACTAGATTTAGGCTAATTACGTTTAAACAAATTCAACTAAACAAAATGCACATCATGCTGGGGACTTGCGGTATTTTACAAGCGCAAAAAAGGGCTGAGAAATGTGGTGAAATGGGTGTGGGTGTTTGGGGGCCTAAAACGAACTTAGAACCTAGCGTATAATCATCCCTGGTTGCTGTTGGAGGTCTCTTCGTTCAGCTGCATCTGGGCCAGTGTGCGTACGACCACGCCCCTATTGACGGGCGTCAGACCTTGGCAGAGACCCACCACAGCGTCCAGCGCCACATCGGGGCAGTCCTATGTGGATCAAAGATAAAACCAGAGATTTAGTTTGGGAATTGAAAGTTTAAGGGCTATCTAAACTTACCTCAAGCATTTTCGAAATGGTCGAGATAATGGCATCCCGTCTCACGGAATTCACGTTGCGGGAAACAATGGATTCGGCATTGCTCTGCTCCTCATACCAAGACACCATCTCCTCGTTCTTGTCCCACAGATAAGCCTGGTAATAGATTCAGATATGATGTTGAGGTTGGCTTGAGTGATGATGCGCTAAAATCTACTCACCTCTGTGGCTCCCTTTTCCTCAACCAGCCAGCGTCGCAGCATCTGCTTGGCCTGGCCCACGGACAGGTTGTCCTGGGCGCGCAGTATCTTCTTGATGTACGCATCCTCCAGCAGGAGGCGGCGCAGGCGCCAGTAGAGCCAGCGACGGGAATCGCGCCACGGCACAATCTCACTGATGCACTCCTTCTCCAGCATCCGCTCCGGCGTGTCGTGCAGGTCGGCGAAGTGAACTGCCACCGTGTGATAGACGTGCATGAGGACAGCGATGCGAGCCTTGATCTTCTCGTCCACTTGGCCAGCCTTGATCTTATCGCCAGCCGCATTGGCATCATCGAACTCCTTTTTCAGCTGCAATTGGAAATGCAAATTGGAAATTATTCTCGAAGTTCAACTCCCGTTTTTTTTGGAACCTACCCCAATGGTGGTGGGATCCAGGCGATGTATCGTCTTGACCAGGTCCTTCTCTTTGTACTTGATCTCCACAATGCCCTCCGGCTCGAGGACACCACCTCGTGCCTCCGGATCAGCATAGGTTTCCATGTAGCGCGGGTTAATTAGCGAATCCAGCACGGCCCAGGCTCCGCCACGCAGCTCGGCATTGGGCGGCAGGTAGATGAGCACCGGCTTCTTGTACTCCCGCAGGCCGTCGACGATGTAGGCACCGAACTTGACGATCTGCTCGTACATGTCCTTCATGCCGCCGGAGAAGCCACGCCAGTTGGCGAACACGATCAGCGGCAGCTCCTCGCGCCCAAAGTCCTTGATGGCCTGGGCCGTTTTGTACGAGGAGTCGGGGTACCACACCTGGCCCGCCTGCTGCAACGTCTTGGCCTCCGAGTCCAAATTGGCGGGATCGGCGGGCATCTCCACCTCCACGGTGCGTGTCTCGACGGCAATCACGCCCACGGGTACACCGCCCAAACGGGCGCGTCCGGTGACCACTGTCTTGGCCCACGGCGCCATAATCTCGCTCCACGAGTCGCGGTCAAAGAAGCCGTTCTCCCATTCATTGGCATTCACGGGATTCACCCGGCCGCCGAGCATCCAGCGCGGATCGTACGGCGACTTGGTTGGCATGAAATCCACGGGCCGATCGATGCGATCGCTGGGCATTACAATGGGCAGGTCGCAGCCAATGTAGGCGGGGATGTACGAGAGCCAGTCGAGGATGGTGTACACACCGTCCAGATCGATGGCCTCAGTCTTGTGGGTGACTCCGTTGTTGAACATGATCTGGGTGCCACCCAGTTGGTTGTTCGAGGCGTAAACCTTGCGTCCAAGCAGCTGGAAATTAAAGATAATAATAACAATCAATATTTCGCTGGTATATAAACATTTGGTTTGGCTTTGTATAAATATTATTTTTAGACCTCAGTGAATCATGTAATTGATATCTATTTTTAGTTTAAGTATGCCACTATAATTTCATTTTAGTTGGAAACAAATGCTCCAGTAATTGAGATCTAATTTTAGTTTAAGTGTGCCACTATAATTTCATTATAGTTAAAAAACAAATGCTCCTTGAAATTAGCTTACCTTATTGAGCGCAGCATAGCCCGTGAGTATAATGTGCGAGTTGTCGATCTGGATGACGCGCTGCCCCAAACGGACCACATACGATCCGATGCCGATGGTGCGACAGGTGACCATGGCAATGGTTACGATCTCCTCGTAGGCCTGCGACGTCTCGCCGGCAATCAGACCGGCATAGCGCAGGTTCTCCACGCCCAGGCCATCGTCCTTGCCGATGATGTCGGTGATCTTGTAGCGCTGCTCGCCCTCGTCCTCGATGAGGATGGCCCGCACCGAGTTCAGGTTGGCCACCTGGGCATAATCCTCGGTGGTCAAGTAGAGGTACTTGAAGCCCTTGTCCGGCTCCTCTGGATCCTCCCATGCGATCTTGAACATTGCCTTCACCTCCTCGGCAAGTCCGATGCGTGCACCGCTGTTCACGGAGATGTAGATCTAAGCAAAAGAATATTATTTTAATATAATAAGGAGATAAATTGTGGAGGATAAGCCCACTTACCCTGGGCACTTTGCGTTGACGGGCCAGCTGGGAGGCCTTGGCGAACAGCACGTCCTCCTTGATGCCGAACGAGCCGATCAGGTAGGTTAGGTCGTTGGCTATCACAATGATCTCACGGCCATTTGGATATTCGGGAGTGGCCAGGACAATGCGCCAGGCCACCATGCCGCACTGGAATGAATGAACAAATATATTTAATTTATATTTATAAGCATATAGCTAGAGAAACCCACATTGTTCTCGCCGGGCAGGCGCTGCATCTCCACCAGACTGTCGCCCTCGAGTACCAGCTCCTTGCACTCGATCAGAATCTTGTCGGGTATGCGGATGTCGACGGTGGGACGCGCCTTGGAGAATTCCCGCCAGTGACGCTCGGTCATCTGGCGGAACATGTCGGGCACATCGTACACATAGGTGGTGCCGTTGGACTGCGCCTGGAAGCGTTTCTGCTGCAGGAAGTCCTTGGTCATGTAGGGCGTTGAGATGGGATGACCATGCAGCGATCCCTGCTTCTCTCCGTACGCCTTGAACTTGATCTGCAACGCGAAAAGTCGGGTATTTAGTTATTGTATAATTTAAGCCGATTTCGAATTAAGGACTTACGATTCCGGTCTCTGGTTCCGTTTGCTCCGTGTACATGGAGATGTCCAGGAAGTAACCCGAGTCATTGGCAATGCACAGACGCACGGCCTGAGTGGGTGACTGCGGCGACTGGCGGATGACCATCTTGAGCTCGGCCTGCAGGACGCGCAGCTTCCACAAACGCGGACCGTAGCGCATGATCATCTTGGTCACCGACTCCTCGATCTTGGCCGGGTCCATGATGACGGTGGGCACAAAGTTCAGGAAGATGTGGTTGCAGTCGGTGCGCTTGGCATGCGGATGCGAGAAGGCCACCTCCAGCTCGTCCATGGCCTCCAGCAGCACACGCTCTCCTTCGTTCTGCAGATACTCGAAGGACGCCTCCTTGGTGATCAAATCCGAGTGCCGGATAATCGAGCGTATGAAGAAGCGGTAGTCGGTGACCTCCTGACCCTTGGACACCTTGGCCTTGCCCAGATACAGGTGCATCTTCTGGTTGGCCGTTGGCAGAGCCTCCAGATCGTATGTCTTCATGCGATTCAGCTCCAGATGGAAGGCAGATGCCGGCTCCAGATGCCGGTAAATACGATCCTCCGTGAACTTATCCCTGGCTCGGTACGTAAAGAACTTGGGGAACTGACGCTTCTTCAGGGCGGCGAACGTTATCCTACGGATGCGTCGCTGGAACAGCTCCTCGCTGTGCTCCTGGCAATAGTTGCCAAAGATCTGGGCCATCTGCAAATCGTCCAACTCGCCCGTTTCCCTCACCGCCACACTGACGATGTGTATCGGTTCCGTGGACTTGGCCTCCTCGGCGGCATTGGCCCGCGTAACCGGATCCGAAAGCGACACATTGATCGACGTGCTGTGCCGGCTGTCCGAAATGGAGTCGGCCGCCTCCACGGCCTCCAGCACCTTGGCATTGACCATGGCCGGCGAGACGAAATCCTCGAGCAGATCCAGTATCTCGTCCGAGTACATCTCAAAGTGCTCGAAGGAATCGAAGGCCGCTATCGCACCGGTGCGCACAAACGAGCTGCCCAGTGTCTCGGCCGCCGCCTGGTCCAATCCCTCCGGCGACGACATGCGCGAGAAGAGCCTGTTCGGATGCGCGGTGGGCAGGAGGAACTGGAAGTGCACCAGTGGCAGGCCGCCTGAAAGCTCCAGATGCTGCAAACAGGTCAGCTCGTAGGAGGTGTAGGCTCGCCGCACATACACCTCGAGGGCGGCATTGCACACCGCCCGATTGGAGTGATAGAAGAAGTCGTGCAGGATGTCGAAGATCGAGGTCTCCGACAGAATCAGACGCTGCAGATTCTCGGGATGAAAGTCGTGGCCGTACATGTCCACGGCCGACAGGAATATCGACTCCATTTGGTTGTGGCGCAGCTCATACGCCGGCTGGTGGGCAGCGATCAGCACCTGGCGGGAGCGCAACGCCACCCTCGAGTGTTCCGCTCGGTTCAGCGAGGTCAACTCGCTCAGCGTGTTGGCCAGTTCGTCGGTGAGGCC